CATTGATCCTGGCTGGAGGCTGGGCACTGTTGACGCCTGTAGCGCATATGCACTGCTTGAGTGTTTCTTCTGTGGCAGGTTCTCTGTGGTGCCAAAGTTGCGGCCATACTACAGGCTTGTGCTCTGGGGTCTGCTTGGAAACACTTGCGACTGAGACTGGAGTGCATGACAGACATTGGAGTGAGTCCAGGAAATCATGGTGACTCAGTGGTTTTGTTAGACAGAAGAGAACATTTCGCGCCTCTGGTTCGAATCCAGAAGTGTTGGCTGTTTGCGCATCAAAACATGCAGAAACCATTGTATACCCATGTATCGATCAAAACATCGATAATATATTTATGTATCTGGTGTAGATCCACTGAAGTTTGGTTATATTCAATCATTGAAGGCAATAGCAGTGTTTTGGAGTCATCCGTGTTTTGCAGCTATGGTGAAAAATTCGTGGCCTACCGGAGTGACCAGTTGGACTGACACGGTGAAATTTGCGCAGCTACTGTTTGGTAGTGACGTTCAATTTGAAAATTATAGCCACCTGTTGCCACACAACAGCACGGAAAGCTTTTTGTTGTTTGCCAAGGGGGCATGCAAAGAACCACCACGTCCTTTTAGTTGCATTCGGGAGCTGATTGCGGTGCAGTTGGAGGAGATCAAGGAGTATGAAATCGCCCGACGTGGCAATGTGAGTGAAAAATCCGGAAAAATCGCAGCAGATGATGAGGCGCACGGGCAAGAAGGTGTATTACTATAGTTGCCAAGTAAGCAAAGACCCTTGCACTTGCCGATCGATTTTCGGGGCAGATGCGCATCAGTGTGTGATTCCGACCTGTTCTTCTTTGTGGACTAGTGGCGATGAGTTCAAAAAGCGTTTTGATGCAATTCTGCGGGAAAATTATGCAACCTTTGGCGGCCACGATATTCTTCCTGTTTGGTTTGAGAAAACGTGGCAGGTACTGTGAAACAGAAACGACCACAATCGGGATCATGGCATCGCACCACATCGTGATTACTGTGAGACATACTCGGATGCAGATCCCATCACAAGCTTCTCTTTTGGATGTGGTGGTCTTCTCACACTGATGTCGCAGACATCTGGCAAAGGTGCTTCAAAAATGCTGATTCAGGAGCATGGAGATGTGCTGATTATGGCAGGGAAATTTCAGCAGGGTTTTTTTTCATGAAGTTCCTCAGCGCAGTCTTTGGCGAGATTTGTGTGCTGGCCATGGTTCGGGTTTTGTTTCAATCGGTCTTGAGTCAGGTGGTGGCCCGGCATGTCTTGGCATGTTTGTTGTCCAGCCTCATCTGCAGGTGACATTTCATGACTGATTCAGATGGTTTCCCACAGTGTCCTGGCATGATTGTTTTCCAAGCTGCACTGCAGCCGACATGACATGAGTGATTCAGGTGGTCTCCAACATGTCTTGGCATGTCTTGGCATGTTTGTTTTTCAAGCTGCACTGCAAGCGACATGACATGAGTGATTTAGGTGAACTCCAACATGTCTTGGCATGTTTGTTTTGCAGCCTGAACTGCAAGCGGTACAGCGACATGTTTTGAAATGTTTGATGGTCCATTCAAGTGATCAGTTCTGTTAGACGTCAGGTGACATTCGGGAGTGAAGCGGCAGACCGGCTAGCAACGTCACAGACCAAAAAAAACGCAATGGCTTGCTTGCAAAGGGAGTGGCTGGTATCTATGTGATCCTCACCATGATATGTCATGGTGGGGATCACTCGAAGTAAAGTAATTTCGCAAACCGTCGCAGCACATCTCATGCTCTGGCAAGATGAAATGCAGAAGCGACCTGCACCAAGAACACAAACAAAGACACAAAGAATGAACAAGCCACATATCTGATTTCGACATCTCACTTACTCCAACCATACTGAGACATAACCACTCGCATGTTTGGCGCCCCAAACAATTTTCTTTAAAAAAAAACATACTGTTTCTCGCTCTATTTGTAAATCCAAGTGCGTCATCATCCAAACATAAAAATTCCAGGCAATGACAAAATTCGATTTACGCAAAAAGCGACACCAACACAACCGCATCTCTGAGGATCCACACCGGTGAAAGCACGTCTTCACACAAGGCAACAAACCTGACAGTAAAGGCAACAACAACAACAACAACAACAACAACAACAACAACAAACCAACACTTTGAACCACAAACGTGATGTCACTGTTACAACTACGAAAATCACGCTACATACAGGTTGACATGTACTACCAATTCCATGACAAAAAGCTTTGCCAAAAAAAACAGGAAAACAAACAGGCAGAGTTTCCCCTGGAGGGTGCCGACCCTTCGTTGTCAAATGATAAGATTCGATTCACACCAACAACTGCATCTCTAGGGGACCCCACCGGTAAAAAATGCTTCTAAAACGACACGCCAGACCCAAAAAGGCAACGAAACAACCAACCGAAACTTTGAAACACGAACTCCAACGTCACTGCTACAGCTACAAAAACCGTCCCAGATAACAATTGACATTGGAATGCTGCTACCTTTGCACTGATACGAAAAATATCACAAAAAAAAATTGGAGAAAGAAAACTAGCAGAGTTTCCCATGGAGGGGACCGACCCCTCGTTCTAAGATGACAAAATCAGGTTCAGGCAAACAGCGACATCAACACACCCATCAATGAAAACGCTTCTTCACTCAAAGCATCACACCTGACAAGAAACTCAATAGCAACAACCCCCCAAAAAAACACTTTGAAACACAAACCCCAGCGGCCCCAGCGTCACTGCTACCACTACAGAAACCTTCCTAGATAACAATTGACATTTAAATACTACCTTTGCAATGAAAATATATTTGATCAAAAGCATTGGAAAAAACCGGGCAGATTTTCCCCCGGAGGGGACCGACCCCTCCTGCAAAATGACAAAATTAGGTTCAGGCAATCAATCGCACAAACACGACCGTGTTTCTAATGCTCAAAGTCAACTTCCGCGCGTCCGCTACAAAAACAAGACCGGACGCCAATCCAACCCCGCATCCTTGGCGTTTGCGCTCGGGGTGTAGGCCTCCATTACTTTCGTTTCAAACGCGCATGAAGCACTGATCCATTCGCGCCTCCTCGCGCATGACTGGCGCGGAGTGCCTTTTGCCGTTCCCCGTCCGTTGCATTTCAGAAGTTCCCGGCGCCACAATCACCATGTATATGGCACCTCGGACAAGGTATGAAAGCACATAAATTCATATGGACAGATTGCCCAACCCGCCTTTCGCCGGCGAAGCAGAGGACGCTTTCGCAGGCGACGCAAGCGGAGCTTCTTCAATGGGATGCCCCTGGGTGAGAGTCCGCAAAAACCATAATTAAACTTTGCACACGTCAAGCGCGGCAACTACCGACTTAGGTCGAGACGTGTATATATATATAGAATTACTATAAATATAAATATATATATATATTACTATATATATATTACTATATATATATATTACTATATATATATTACTATATATATATATTACTATATATATATATTACTATATATATATTACTATATATATATATTACTATATACATATTACTATATATATATATATTACTATATATATTTAAATTAATCGAAGGAAGTTTAGAAGTCAAACTTCCGACGATATGGACAGATGAAAAGCAGAGATGGGAAGAGTCAGAGAGAAGAGAAGAGTAGAAGAGAGAAGATCAGAGAAGAGAAAGAGTCAGAAGAAAGAAGATTTAGATGCGCGAAAAGGTAGGAAAGTCGCGAAACACTGTGTTTTTCCAATGAGAGGGTCGAAAAGTAGGCTCGCTAAAGCGGCGGGTGCGGAGCCATCTGGCCAGATGAGAGATGAAAAATTGCACGGTGTTGTGGCGTGAAGCACATTTCGAACCCTGCTGTTATGATGTCTGGTATTTCGAGGATTGCTCGTGTAAAATGCAACATCCCCATCACCAACACGACAGGAGCATCATTCCAGCTAGCTGCTGTTTGGTTTGCAAACTACCGTATTCGTCTTCCACTAAAAAGGTCGATTTCGCAAATCCGCCTTGGAATAGACCAATGAACTGCTCATGTATACCCCGCCTGCGTAAAGCCAACCATAAGCGATCTTGCTTTACAATCTGAAACATAAGTACCAGTACCATCTCCCAGTTATTCACTGAAATCTTGAAGCCTCCTCATTCTGGTGCAGGGCCTCCTCGGGAGGCTCTTCTTCTTCCGCCAGGAGGCCCTGGGTGCAGGTCATGATTTCCCAGTTCGGCTAGATTTAGTACCCTGCTTTTGTCCACAGCACGCCTCGCCAAACCCGAAATCGAAGCGCCCCCCTCTTCGGCAGTGGCCACAGAGCTTGTGCGTGCCACCTGGGCCGAAGCTCAAGGGTGCACCTCCCAGGGAACCATTCCGAGGCTTAACTACACCTCTCCTTGCGCACCTCGGATGCCTCGCGCGCAACCCTAAACAGCAGCTGAAAGCCGACCGAGACAGCACATGCAGCGAACTCTTCAATACACAACTTCATCTGAAGAATCATGGCTTCCAATCTCTTGGCGCTGCTACCAGACATCGCCATGCACCAATGTGCATGTTTCACCTTCGTAAGTGCTTACATAGCTTTGCTGAAGGTGTCCATGAGGTTCTATTATTCGCCGCCTTATCTTTGCAGGACCTTATGTTGTTCGAAAAGTAATGCCGGAAACCTTGCGTACCTATGTTGGCTTATATTCGCAATCGTTTGCAGAATTAATTATGCCGTTGGCACTGACGTTGATATAGTTGCCCTCTGCAAAGCTGGACTTTGATGCCAACTTCCCAATCGCAAAGTTTGTAAGTGTATGGACCGTACAAATCTGCACACAAAAATGCACGTGTGACTTTGACTCTTGACTTCAAGGCACTGGGGGGGCATGCCAACCTTCGACCTCTTCGCCTCAGATGGTTTGCTGAAATATGACGCCTGGGGAACAGTAAGCTCTGCTGAGAACTTTGTCAAGCTCTATCGACAACTGCCAAATGGTGTCAAGCTAAGCTACTGCTGATGATCCGGTAGTTCTGGTCGAACTCTTGCTGGGCGACAATGTAGAAGTCTTTCGGCTTTCCCAGCTCCCGGCTGTAGAGCAACCAGTCGCTGGGCCTCAGGACACGACCGTGCAACACATTACAACAGCTCCAAACACCTCCAAAGTGCATCTGAATGGAAAGGCAAGTTGCTGAAAGCTCTGCTTTTCACCCCAGGCAGACTCTACGGCCGCGAAGTCAAACTGTACAAAACACACCATTCTCGGACCACTTTTGGAAGTTGAGATGTCGAAAAAGTGCACGCCGTTGTGGCGCGAAGCACATTTCGAAGTCAAACTGCACAAAACACACCATGCTCGGACCACTTTTGGAAGTTGAGATGTCGAAAAAGTGCACGTGTGGCGCGAAGCACATGTCGAAGTCAAAAGTGCAAAAAAACTGACGGGTACGGAGCACTTTTGGTCGTTCAGATGTGCTTTCGCGTGGCAGGCGCAAGGGATTGTGCACCTTGTCAAAAGTTGAGCAAAACGTGAGGGTTTTGCAGCATTTCCGTGGGACATTTGAAGAGGATCTGCAAAGATGCAGGCTGGCGCAGTACAAAAGACATGTTCATGAGAGATGTTAGGAGGTCAGGGGGCTGATTTCCTGAGAGGGATTGCATTTTGGAGCATCAGATCTGTAGGTTTGCTAAGATGATTTTGCGTGACAGGTGCAGCACTTCGTATGACCTGGCATCAATTTTCGTGGCAGGCGCCTTACTTTAGACAGGTGGAGTGGAAAAATCACAAAACGCATTGGTACGAGGCTGTCAGCTCTGCACTCAACTTTCCATTTTTGAAGGAAGCCTCGCAGAATTCATTTGTTTTTGATGTTGTCAAATTCAAAAATTGAAGAAGTCTCGCAGACTTGTTTCGATAGATAGATTAGAGTAGATTAGATTAGATTAGTTTAGATTTAGATTAGATTAGATTAGATAGATAGGTCGATAGATAGATAGACAGTTACAAAGATAGATAGATAGATAGATAGATAGATAGATAGATAGATAGATAGATAGATAGATAGATAGATAGATAGACAGATGAGAGAGAGAGATAGAGAGATAGATAGATAGATAGATTAGGTAGATAGATAGATAGATAGATAAAAAGACAGATGAGAGCGAGAGAGAGAGAGAGAGATAGATAGATAGATAGATAGATAGATAAATAGGCAGATGAGTGAGAGAGAGAGAGAGAGATAGATAGATAGATAGAAAGATAGATAGATAGATAGGTAGATAGATAGATAGATAGATAAATAGACAGATGAGAGAGAGAGAGAGATAGATAGATAGATAGGTAGGTAGGTAGGTAGGTAGATAATCAGAGAAAGAGAGAGAAAGAGAGAGAAAGAGAGAGAAAGAGAGCAAAAGAGAGAGAAAGAGTGAGAAAGAGTGAGAGAGAGAGAGAGAGATCAATCATCTTTCAGTCCATCAATGGCTGCGCTCTGCCATACCTGATTCACAACAACCAACCTCTCCTGTAGGTTTCCTGTTTTTGAAACTTCCGCCACCGCCTTGGTGCGGTACTACTGGTATATACATGCTTCAGGAGGAACAAAGTTTATGCTTCTTGAAAGCTTTATAAAGCATCCATCTCGGTCAACTGCGGATCACATTTGGAGTCCGTTTTGTGTGGCAGGTGTGGGACGGTCAATTATCACCCTCTTTTAAATATATAAGATTTTAAAGCTTTTGGGGGGTGGAAATGTGCCCGGGGTACGACAAAGCTCCATGCTAGGATTCTACGGGGAAAGGGTGTGCAGAAGAAGAAACCAAACATGTTCACTGTGGGAAGCTCAACAAGCGCAACTTTTGTCCTACCAGTGCGTCACGGCACATGTGTAGCAGTGCAGACAAAGAGGATGGAGACAGACATGTTATGTGGCACATATATTATGTTATGTACCAGTGTATGTATAATTCTGCCCTTTATATTCCATATTAGTATTGCCTTCTCGTATCCCCATGTTTGCCGCTCGAGTCCATCAGTCCACCAGTCATTCAGATCGCCTTCTGTGCCACCGCACAGCGCCCGGCATCCGCGCCGGAGCGGCTGGAGGATGGCGGGACATCAGCAATGATCATGGGAAGTCAGAGTTGTAGAAAGAGGTGCCATGGTCAAGTTACATGGGAGTTGACCATAATATATATATATATGTATATGTATATAAAGTGATAATATATATATATATATGTATATACACATATATTTGGCTATAGAATGGAATACATACATGTATAACCAATATATATATAATGTAAAACCAACTTAATATTACTATGTAGTAGGATATGATTCCCAAATTTAACCGGTATTAAGCAAAGAAAATCCCTCATGTTTGTTGGTTGAATCCCATGGAAAACAAAAAGATGTCGTACGTGCCAGGGTCAAGTTACATGGTTTTTGTCACGGGGTTGAAAGAAAACAACAGTGGGATGGATATGTGGGATATATAGTTAATATAGTGGGTATATCATCGGAGATTATCATGTGTAAGCTAGCCACCAGCAACATGGTAAAAATCCCATGCGGAATCCAAACATTATGGATCCTAACGGTCAGAATCCAAACATTCATGGAGTGATGACCATTTTCCAAGGACTACTGATTGGTGGTTTCAACCCCTCTGAAACATTAGTCAGTGGGGGTTACTATTCCCAATAAATCCAACGAACTTGATCATGGCACATATGGTAACCCCAAAATGGATAAGTTGGATACCTAGGAAGCATGAGGTAGATACGGTAGTGGACCCAAGTGGGGAGCCTAATGGAACCGATTTACACAACAACCTGGCGAAAACCGCAGACAGCGGTTTGCGCGGGTTTGACTGAACATGTTCGGAAAATTATGAACATCCCATGGTCGATCTATGTCGATCTCATTGTCCGATATTTTTCAATTCAATGCGATAAGTATATTGGGAAAATCTCCACGTCTGCATATGTAAAAACATGTGTTTCACACTTGATCACCAATCTGCAGCTGCGGTGAAAAAGGCTGTCTTGGATCCCATCTGGTGATCCCAGATGGTTCTAAAAGATGTAACTACTTCTGGTGGTTTTAATGGGATTCAATGGTGATTCAATGGTGATTCAATGGGATTTAATGGGATTTCATGGGATTTTAATGGGATTTTAATGGGATTTAATGGGATTTAATGGGATATATGATGGTATAGCCTCTGGTCGACATTCACAGTTTGCGAACTGGAAGCCATGGCCCAGTCGAAACAGTTGATTTCTGGCACGGAATCTCCGAACACCGGCTCCTCCAAAAATCCCTTGGCAGACGCTTCGGCTTCCAGGGATACCCTCTGGTTATATACAAAATAGCTATTGAAAATGGCTATTTGTAGTGGATTTTCCCATTGATAGCATGGTGATTTTCCATAGTTATGTGGCTGTTTACCAGAGGGTAACGGGATAGCCACAGAAAACATCACCTGCCCTGGTTTTTCTCCGATTTTTTTGTCGCGTCCAATCAATCTCTCGATCAGAGCAGCGCGCTCCTGTTTGAAGAGAATTGGTGTTGGGGGTGTTGGATGGAGCCATCTCTAAGCAAAATTATCCAACTTCAACAAACACAGATGGGGGGGTTTTCTAAAATGGGGAGACCCCAAAATGGATGGTTTATGATGGAAAATCCTATTAAAGTGGATGATTGGGGGGTACCCCTATTTTAGGAAGCCCCCCACATATTTACATTTCCTATCATTCCTCCTTCACTTTCTCTCTGCACCAGAGGAATGCAGCAGATTCAGTCAGGTTGGCAACCTACACCACTTCGGGGCATCAAAGGTGGGTATCAAAGGGGCGCATGGGGCACCACCAGACCTTATCTTGGCATCAAAAGGTGCGGGTGCAGAAGATTCAGGGCTGTAGATTGGCAATCTACACTGCTGAGGAGCCGCAAGGGCACAGAGGAGCGCCAGGGAGTAGCATCAGGCAGAACTATGACTGTTTATCTGTGTGGATGTGAGCCATCTGTCAGTTGCTTCAAAACATCTAACTTGCAACCAACTCAATATCCCCATTGTAGATGACAACTTGCTTCCATCAAGGATATTATCTTCTCATAACTTTTCATCTCTTTTCAATTCTCCTCCATCATTTGGTAAAGAAGTATTGATGTCATGAAGCCAGTCAGACCTATCACCCCTTTGTGCTCTGGCCAGTGCACAGAGCCCAGTTCCAAGGATTGATAGTTGGTGGTTTCAGCTCTGAAAAATAATAGTCAGTTGGGATGATGAAATTCCCAATATATGGAAAGTCATAAAACATGTTCCAAACCACCAACCAGTCAAAAATCATCAATGTAGATAGTTGGAAAAACACTGTGTGCTCTCCCCATTGCAAAGTCACTTTGCCCTAACACCATTATTTTTCCATGTATTAGAGGCCTAGGGCAAGATCTCCACATCCCGCCCCGTTTCGTGACCTCCTTTTCCATGACCTCCCACCGTCTCAGGGGCAACCATTCCACGTGCCTCAACGAAAGATGCGCATCTCTCCCGGGGGGTTCAAGCTCTTGAGTTTCTGCTTCTACAAGCCCTGGGTAAAAGCCCAGAAATGGAAAAATACCTCAGTTGATGGGAATTTCAATAGTTTCAATGCGAACTTCACAACACACCACTGAAGATTTGGGTGAACAATGACAAAAATTTGGTCGCTCTCAACAAACAGTGCCCAAACCAACAAAGTCCATGATCTGCCCCCGGGCGATAAGCTGCAAACCTATCCCCAAAAAGTCTTTGGCTCCATAAAAATGGAACATGTATACAGATCCTCTCCATAACTATGTGGAGGTTTCCATAAATGGGGGGTCCCCATTTTATGGATGGCTTATTTCAGGGAAAATCCCAGTCTAAAATGGATGATGCAGGGGTACCCCCATGACTCATGAAACCCCAACTATAGTTGCATCTACCAATCTACCATAGAATTCAGCCACAAAAATAAGGCAACTGAACGCGGCAACCAACGGGGGCCCGGACCATCCCAGGTGTTTCAAATGGCGGCATTTCAGGGTGATCCAAGCACTACGCGGCGCCTGGGAGGAGTCGGAACAAATTCCATGCCGAGGAGTTTTCACTAGGGAAATGAAGAGTCGCTATTTATATGTATATAATATATATATATATGATATAATATTGTAATAGAAAAACATATAAGACATGCAGCACAAATGCTGGAAACTGGGAAACCACCATTTATTTATTTTTTCTTTTCTGATTAGGGGTTCAAAGCTACCTTGTGGGTTTTGGGGCAACGTTCAACCGGCAGTGAAGCGTAGCCAGTGGTTTCGAATTCTGATTTTGACCGATATTTTCCTAATTTTCACCATGGAAAATGCTTCCAAAAAAGTTGACATCCCCATATTCTTAATGCTCCGTCTGTGATTTTCACCGTGATTTTTCGGCTCCCAGCAAATCCACATGATAGTGAAATCAGGGAAATCCCACTCTTCTCCAATTCCAAATCCCAAGATTTTCCATGCCCCAACTCCACCTCAGCTGTCGAGAGTGTGGTGGCATCCAGCACCAGCACAGCTTCACCCTGAGCGCAGGAACGATTCAAGCCGCCTACTTTCTTCGGTGGTGGACTATCTTATATTAATGAGGGTTATTAATATTCCCATGAGAGATCATGAGGGTAATGTATAATATTTTGGATATCTATATATATATGTATATATGGGTGGACTTTCTGATGATATTTTTTTCCGATTACGGTTCTATCTCCTTCTATCTCTTTCCATCTCGTTCTATCTCTTTGGGGCTTAATGCTGATGGTTTTAGAGTTGGCAAAATCTACGATGTAATCCCTTTCTTTGAAAAGAGCTAGCCTTTCTACGATGTGATCCTCATCGGTTCCACAAAACTGCGGCGAATGATCAATTTTCTTGGAATTTCCCCCAACAGTGTTATTAGGTATGTCCAGTTAGATCCGCATTTCTGGTTGGTGCAATTCCGCGAATGTATGGTTGCTTGATCCCAGATCCACTGGAAAATAAAGATAGATAAAGATAAATAAAACTCTATCAATAGTAAATATATATTCATATAAAGAGATTGTGTGAAACCACCAACCCTAGAGATCTATAGCTTATAGAGATCGATAGCTTATATAGCCATCATATATCCATCATATCCCATATTGTTTCATCACCGGTCCTGCACTGCCAGGTCGAGGTGATAGAAGTCCTGGAATCCGATTCGGTGTGGTATATCCTTGATTGGTACCTGGTACATGATGGTAAATTCAGGGATTGGTACCTGGTAAATGGCATCATAATCCAAGACTTGGCGTAAATGATGGTAAATTCAGGGTGAAACAATCCAAGAAATGTCATAATCAGCTGAAATGTGCTGAAATGACCATGATTCATCGGGAAATCTCCCAGATTGCAAGGTAAATCCCTCTTTCATTCCTAGATGGCGCTCCACCAACTGAACAATTCTATGACAATGTTCAGAGTGTCATAGCAGGTAGGGATGGAAGTCAACAAAATGTGAGGAAGCATCAAGCCGGTGAAAATATAGTTAGATATACGTTTGATATCAAATGATACCCTCTGGATCCTTCTGGTAATTTAATATAGCTATGAAACATGGGTTCTTTATAGGTTCTTTATGAATGGTGATTTTCCATAGCTACCAAATGATATCAAATGTATCCCTAAAAATGCACATCTACCTGCCATTTCTGAACTGGATTTCCACTGCCCCAGAGGTTCCTCCACCGTTTCGTTGAGGCTGTACGGGACACCCTCCTGACTACACGCTTGCAGGGAAACACTTCTACAAGTGGACAATAAATATTAAGCCCCAACAGAAATACAGCATATAAAGACTTTGGCTATATATCACTGTTGGAATTCCCCTGCTAACCCGGGTTGTCCCATTCTTTAGTGGAAATTCCAAGGGGGATGGCTATATTGATTGCAAATTGGCTAGATAAATCCATGGTGAATCGCCAATCACCATTTTCTGATGGTTTTTTAGGGATGATCCCTATCCGGCTGCGGGTTGGAATCCTTGGAATCCTTGGTCCAAGCATAGGAGGAAAAAAAAAAAAGGTGTTCGCTTATGGAAGTTGGAAAACTCATGACAACATGTGATGAATTTTTGCATTTTTGTTACTTCCTTGAGTTTTGGTCTCGTGGATTGAAACATATTGAAACCATACTCCCCGAAACAATGAAGCCTTTCCCTTACATACCAACGGCGCCAACGGCGCAGAATGATTCACCGAATCTGGGATGTGATTACAAACTCCACCATTCACTGGGGATGGAATTTTACTTTTCAACTTTAACAAGCCCCTAAAAATGGTTGGCTTCAGATCCCCCCAAAAAATCAACTGATTTTTGGTTGGTGGCTTTAACCCATCCCAAAAAATATGCGTATCATCTCATTTCTATCCATATCTATGGTTGAACAACAGTCATACAGTCATACATGAAACCCCCAACCAGTTAACATGGTGAATCTTAGATACCTGGCAAAAACTCTAATTTCTAGCTGGTTAGTACATTTTACCATTTATAGCAAAAGAGCAACTTGTACAAGTTCGTATCTAACCAAGATCAACCCACTCAAATCACCATTAAATCATCACAAGAATCCCATTAAATCCCATTAAATCACCATAAAAAATACCACCAAATCACCATTGAATCACCATTAAATCACCATTAAATCACCATTAAATCACCATTAAATCACCATTAAATCACCATTAAATCACCATTAAATCACCATTTTGATGTCCCCGAAGTCATGAGAACTTGGCAAGTCATTGGCGCACTCGCCGCCGCACGGCCTCCTCCAAGTGCGTGCAAACTTCCTCTAGGATTGCCTCCGGGACTCCGGAGCACGTCACTGGGAAAGGATCTGCAGAAGTATTCATCATTAACGATAGCTATATGTCACAATAATAAGATAAAAATCATGTCACGATAATAAGATAAAAATCACAACAGTAACAATAGTATAATAATAATAATGAAAGAATCATCATATTATTATATATTATTATCATAATTATAACTCCAGTTATTAACAATAATCATCATAAGAATAATAATGATAATAATGATTAACAATAATCATTGTTATCTTATCATATTATCCAGCGATTATCATAAGAATAACCATCATCATCATCATGACTGTTCTGGGACGATCTGATATTCTATGTTTTTTCGGCGTTTTTAACGCTAGAGAATCCCAGTTCATCCAATTGGTTGAGTCCTACTACCCGGCCTGGTTATGTCAAAATAGCTATTTTGAAGCCATGGCCCAGTCGAAATAGTGAATTTTCCCATAAATAGCATGGTGATTTTCAATAGCTATTTTGACATAACCAGAGGGTACATTGATGTTTGTCCTTGGATGTGGCCCTGCTTGTTACGATTGGTTCTCAACTGCAGATCACGACGGCATGTGCTATAAACCGAGCGAGTGAATTCCTCCATTATTGGCAAGTTTGCCACACTGGTTTTATAGGGCTCCACAAAAAGTCACATGGGTATGGGTCAATACCTATAGATACATTTTTAGGGGAATGAACATCCATTTACCAGCTATTTTGATGTTCACCAGGGGTACAAGGTTTTGACACACACCCACATGTAAATCCCTACCCTCTGGTAAAACTATGGAAAATCACTTTTCTTAATGGGTGAATCAACTACAAATGGCAATTTCCAATAGCTTTTTGATGCTTTGTGTATGTTTACCAGAGGGCAATGCTCTTGATGCTGATCTGCGTTTCATGGTATTTGAAAATTCTTCTGCGCGGCACATCTATAATAGCTGTGCCCTCGGGTCCCCTTGGGCTGGAACACCTCCGCAACTTGTCCGTGCGACAACTCCTCCATGAGCCACCTCAAAAAGCGATCGCTTTTTGAACTTCAGGAATCCAAGTTCCGAACATTTCCAGAGTCATTTTTGGGGTGGTTCACCCAATTTCAGCATGCAAAGGTTCCAAGGGGAAAGGCATCACACCCATGCCTAAGTTTCACAGCAAAAACAAAAACAACAACGTATTCTTGTCGGGAATGTCCGTATCTTTACTTGCAACAAAAAAGATGTGAACATGCTTACCATCTATCCACTCGCTGTTACAACATCTTCGTTTTCATCGGTGAACCAATGATGGGACTCGGAGAAGCTCACATGAAGCTTGTATGACGGGAATTCTCACTGGCATCCCCAAACATCTAAACTATTCGGAACCACAAGGCCCCAGTTAACCAATCGTTCGTGGGATCTAGTCTGGCGCGCAAACGGCTAAACGGAAACCAACCAATCACATCCATTTATAGCTTTGATTGTCCATTTCGTATGAAGAAGACTTCGCGCCATTCAGAATCTCATGTTTCTTGTATGTTTTTTCTTTTCCATGATGTTCCATGTTTTTCCATGATTTTCCATGTTTTTCCTATATGTTTTCAATATTGTCCTATGAAAATCCTCGGTTTTTCCCCCGGTACCGCACTGGGCCTCCGACGGATCAAACCTCTTTGGCGCTGATCCGGAGACCTCCTGCCTTGGATGCCAGGCGCCTGAAAAGGTCATGGGTTAATAATGGTTAATTAATGAATGGTTATGATGATGGTTAATGATGGTTAATGGTTAATGATGGTTAATAATGGTTAATACTGTTGAGTACCCGGCCTGGTAAACATAGAAAAAACGATGGAAAGATCCACCATGCTATGAATGGGTAAATCAACTATTTCTATGGGCCATTTGAAAAATAGCTATGTTAAATTGCCAGAGGGTAACACTATTTTTCTGGTTGGTGTTTTTTCGCCACCCCTTTGAAAAATGTGACTTCGTCACTTGGGATGAGATGAAATTCCCAACTGAGTGGAAAGTCATAAAATTCCATGGTTCCAGTCACCACCAACCCAGTTTTGGGTGGTGATCCTCTAAACTAACAGTTTGCTATGGTATGGATCGACCAAAGAAATTCATGATTCATGTCGATGATTTAGCCATGAAAATAATGTGTTCCATAGTTCTGTTAGTCAGAGGGTAGCTGACATAGTCTCACATAGCTCTTAGATACTCGAAGAAACAAAGTTCGGGCTACTAGGTGAGGTCCCAAACTTGATGTTTCTTGGTTTATAATGTCAACCCCGGATGAGACTAAACCAATACTAAACCATGGTTTACTAGGGGGGTACTCCTCCAATAGTCATTTCATCTGATACTTAAATGGTACCCTCCCAATTAAACAGCCGTTTGGGGTTTATTAATCCAGGGTTGACATTAAACTCAATTTTTTTTGGTTCGTTGTATCCACCTAATCAACCCAACAAATGTTAACGAAGTGAACTGCGCGTCAACTTCGCGATTTCGTCAACGGTGCTTCACCTTGTATCAGACTCAGACCCGAATGATCTGCGAATAACTGATGTCGGGTAGATGAATTCCCTGAATTCCCAATCAATCCAAACATCCATCACTAGTCACTTGATACCCAGATTAGTAAAGAACTTATTTTTAACTGGGTTGTGAAATGCTACGAATTAGACCTTCAATATCTGGACTCCAGATATTGAAGGTAATCTGGACAATTATATATATATATAATGTTGACTAAACTCCATACTCCGTTCTTGATGCTTGTTACTGTTCAACACATTTAAAATCTTGACAAAACCCTATTTTGAATAGATTCGATGGTTGAGTCGTGACCGTGAAACCCAGATGGCCAACTTCCCCCCTCAAGGGCCCAACTCCAAAGACAAGATGATCTGCTGCAGTTGATGAATCTCAGACGCTGGGATGCAACCAGCTTCAAATGGGGCTGGTTTACCATCAGTAATACCCGGCCTGGTCAACAAAAAACGATGGAAGCCATGGCCCATATTTATAGCTGACCCATTAGTAGCATGGTGGATCTGTCCATCGTTTTTTTGTATGTTTACCAGGCCGGGTACTCAACAGTATTAACCATGATTAACCATCATTAACCATCATTAACCATTAACCATCATTAACCATCATCATAACCATTCATTAATTAACCATTCATTAATTAGCCATTATTACCCCATGGCCGGATCGGTGATTTTTATGGGATCCAAAGACTTGAGCAGTGTGAAATTCATCGATCCCGATATCTGTCATTCCATGGAAAATCCTGGTTAGGGTGGTGACGAACGGGATTCCTCTATTGGATTATGAAATAATCCCCAATTAATATAAAGGGTATAGAAAAAAATCCCCGAACTACCCTCTGGTAAATAAACATAGACCCTGAAAAGCACTATTGTTTAATGGAAACTAGTCTTCCAACCCCTATCTGCCAGGGTCTATGTTTATTTACCAGAGGGTAATCATCAACCAACAGGGGTTTTGAACACTACTCAATTTGAACCATGAGAAATTGAAGACGCTTGAAGTCTTGATTTACGTGAAATGTGATCTGGCCCCATGGTGAAAATACCCTCGAAGAATTGGTTTTCAACTTCAAGGAAGGGTACCAAAACAAGTACCCTCTGGTTATTGAATCTAGCCGTATAGATTATCTAGCCATGGAAAATGGTCATGTTTAATAGATAAATCATCAAAAAACATCTATAAAAGGGCAATTTTCAATAGCTATCTTAAATTCAATAACCAGGGGGTATATCCATATACTCCATGTATATTCCATATATTCCATATATTCCAACTGGGAATGTCATCATCCCAGAGGGTATACCGGGTAAAAACTCATGGTGACATGGCCGGATATGATTGGATGGTCCCCACCAGCGTGGACCCCCACATCTCAATAGAATCTGAGGGCCTGAGGGTCAACCACCCCCCCAAAGCACATCAATCCCATAGGATCCTAACGGTGCTGCTATTTGTTTGGTGCGCCATGGATCCCATCAACAAAAACCCGCTTTATGTTGGCATTAATATACCAGCACCATGGATCCTAACTGGGAATGGTCATGTCATGACCAAATCCGTTTCAGAAAACAGCTGGTAGCACCTGAATTCTATGGGAAATTGGCCGCCCGTCGGGAAGTCCCTTTGCCACGGAAAAAGGGCCGTTGAATTCCCATGACCTCTGGACTTCTCACCACCATATGTACTTCATCGATCCGTCATGCGTCCCAGCATCCCATATATTAAGATGTATGTGTATGTATATATAGCCGATACATATATCATAAATTATATATATACATAAAACTATACGTACAATATGTGTAAATTATCGTGTTTTTTCTTCCCTCTTAAAAGAAAATCATGGCACATCTCATGATATCCTCACCTTTCGTATCATGGTATCACGGCCTCCTGGATGAGATGGCCATCTTTTTCTATGCCCCCAAAGTATTTTTGTCATTCATACTCCATAACTAATTTTGCTGAATATCATGAAGTAGATTGATGAAAATATCCCATTTACGGATGATTTTAACCATGGATTTTCCATGGCCAGTGGGGGTCCAAACAGTCCCAGTGGATCCACGGCCTCCTGGACAGTGAAGGAATCCTTGGCCGCAAGAGCCAGGTCGAGCAAGGGCAGCAAATGGCCTTGACTGACGGAGCCCCTTGGGTCAGGTCGGTCAAGTCTCAGGAATCGATGTAGAAAAAAAAAGTGTCAACTAGCCATGAAAATTAACCACCATTCATAACCATTAACTAGCCAGAAAAACTCTGGTTCCACCGAGTTCCAAAAAGCACAATGTGAGGCCCCCCAGTGATGGCTAAGTTAGATTCGCCCCAGTAACTAGTTCGTTATTTGCGTACCATAAACCATAGTGAAATTGGAGTTATAAACCAACTTAGCTATCTTGGGGGCCTCACATTGTAACCATTAACTAGCCATCATTGCTAATAATGGTTAATGATTATGAATGGTGGTCAATTAATGGCTAGCTGATGGTTATTAGTAACCATATATAACCACTAATAACCATAGTTATGACATTGTTTTACCCAACAATAATGTCCTTTTGGTAAAAATAGGTTTGGGCCGGGAGCTGGTATACCATCTATCATCATAGAAACCTGTTAAAGGGGTAAACCTTCAAACCCCTCTATGAAAATCAACCAACCAATGGGAAAAGGACATCTATGGACCCTGGTAGATAGGGGTTGGAAGATTAGTGAAACCACTAAACATGGGTAATTTTTCGTCTATGTCAATTTACCAGAGGGTAACTCGGCTGGTAAACACCGTCGAATTTTTGTGCCTATCTATATGTACACAGATACGTGATAAGTCGTGATAATGTATTATGGGACATTGATTTCAGGAAATTGATTTCAGGTGCTTGGCCTTTTTCCGCATATAAAAACATCACAAAAACATGTGATAACCGCAATTTTGGCGATCTTTTCCCAATGTTGCCTCTATGTCACCAAACCTCTGTCCATAAAATGCTTCGGGGGCATCAAGAAATCTTGAAATGAACAATAACGTTTCCCATTTCCCGATGTGCGCAGGCTGCAGGGTTTGTCTGCTTCAAGTGATTACAGGCAGATTTGCTCATTCTGGGGAGCCGTATGACGGAGTATTTCCCAATTCCCAAAGCTGATGCCCGAAGAACTGCGTTGTTGTCCCGCGGCCTGACTTGGAAAAGCGCATGGCAACCATTGCCCAGGCGATGGTCAAGGCCTGCAAAAAATGCGCAAAACAAGGAGGGTGAGTTGGTCATTGGATTGGTTATAGGGAAGTTTTAAGGGAAATTCTGAAATTCTAGAAATTCTAGGGGAAACCTGGATCTTTTATTGCAAACTCTGGAAAACCCGAGATTTGACGGGAAATGTTGTGGATTTCTGCAGATTTTGCCTTGAATTATATATTTGAAGGAGTTTTGGATGGATCATGGATCTATGCAATTTTGATCGATCCTCGAAAAACCTGAATTGGGAACGAAGCAAGCCAATCTTAGATAGCCTGCAAAAAAGAAAAATAAGCTGGTGAACGTAGATATTCCCATTTGGGGATGGGTCAAAACCCTGGTACCTAGTGAACCCCAAGTCATAGCTGGGATTTATGGATGTGAATATCCCACTAAAAATGGTATTAATAGGTATTGACCCATACCCATTGATAGCAAGAGATTAAAAGAATTACCCTCTGGTAAACTAACATAGCTATTGAAAATGGCCATAGAAATAGTTGATTTTCCCATTGATAGCATGGTGATTTTCTATAGCTATTTTGACATAACCAGAGGGTAAACTACCCATCCAGTTGGTTGGGGTTATGTCCACAGCTATGCATTCGCTATGCCACCTTGAAAGATCCATTGCTAGCTCCAAGTTTCCGGAGCCTCATCTGCATGCAGCTCGTGCAGCTCCACAGGTAAGCGGCTATGGAGCTCCTCCAAATAGGCCATATGGGTTTGTCTGAAAATGTTGGGTATATTCCCAATGAAATAGCCATTTAAAAACGGGATAATGATCAGCAAAACCATTGGGTTTAGGGGTACACTGATCCATATCCGTATCTCGTTGGTGGTATACCTACCCCTCTGAAAAATATGAAAGTCAATGGGAAGGATGACATCCCATATATGAAATGGAAAATAAAATTCATGTTCCAAACCACCATGCCATATGCAGTGTGCCATCCAAAAATGTACTGTGCCATCTGGCCCCTAAACGTCCATGCTTCATGTGGGAAAGCGACGAAGAATGACGAAGAACTCTTCGAATTTTATAGGTTGGGAGTCAGCATCCCATCGGAAGGCAATGAATTTGAAACCACCCACCAAATAGATACCCTCTGGTAATTTACCATAGCTATTGAACCATGGCCCATTTATAGTTGATTTACCTATTAAAAAATGTGATTGTCCATAGTTTTTTGTATGTTTACCAGAGGATAAAGTTCTGGGACTATGTCAAATTGTATTCTTATCGCAAACACGACCAAAGCAGGGGAATCTGTCCTGATCATCTCCTAGATCTGACACCTGCTGAAAGTTGAAATGCATTGAAGGCTGAAGAGGGTCTTGGATCTTGTCTAATGAATACTCTGACCGGTTCTGTCTGATGACCAGGTCATTCTCAATGCAGTGTGTTGCTCCAATTTTGCTGCTGCATATACCCATTAAAATTTCCATGATATATATATATATATTATATATATATATATATTATATATTATATATATATATATTTTATATATATATTATATATATATTATATATATTATATATATATTATATATATATTATATTATATATATATATGCTATCCCCATGATTGCTGATGTTTATCATGCTTCAGGATCAAGACGCCCTTCTTTACACATCTGGTGCAGAATTTTATCATAACTCACCACCTGACTGGGAGGATTCCCCCAATCCCACCTGTTTTTTTTCTGGAAATTGGGTACCTTAAAATTCAATAGTTTATTGTCATGTTCCCCCTATTAAAACTGCATTTTGGGGCTATCCCCCAGTTTCAGACACACCCAAAATATCAAAATGCTATATTGTGTTTATAATCCCATGGAATAACCATTTTTTGTTCGCATGAGCTCCTCATTACCCTCCAGTAATCAAACATGGCTTTTAGTTGAATGATTTTCTCAGCGATAAACCTCCATTTCGTGATTTCCCAGTTTGCCGATGTAGAGGCTAAATCCCAATTTTCGGTAGAATTGACATGTAATGGCCAATCTGAAAACAAACAAAAATTGGTAATTAGCCGAAGATTTGATGCTACTTTTTGATCATTGGCCTAGGCTTCTCAGTAGCCATCCTAATTTTCCACGAACAAAAATGCACTAATGGTTGATTAGTCTATTAATGGTTGATTAGATTGATGATTAGTACCTATCATTGACGGTAGAATACAGTGAAAATCAATGGTTGATGAATTCTCCTAATTTCCATTATCTTAATTTTCCATTTTACCTATCATGAATGGTAGAATAGGTACTAATCAACCATTAATCAACCATTTAGTGATGTGAAGATTAACCATTTTGCTGATCAACCAATAAACCATTAATCAACCAATAAAACCATTAATTTAGGTACTAATCAACCAATCAACCATGAATCAACCATTACCCTCCAGTAAATTAACAGTTCGACCCTGCCAGTCATCGGGCTTGGAAGACTAGTTTCCACTAGCAAAAATGGTCATTTTCAGGGTCAAACTGTTTATTTACCAGAGGGTACCCTCTGGTAAACTAACATAGCTATTGAAAATCACGTTTTTTATGGGAAAATCCACTATAAATGGCCATTTTCAATAGCTATGTTAAATTACCAGAGGGTACCAGAGGGTAACATGGTCTATGCACAGCTTGATTTCAGGATGCCCATCTCCACGATACCCTCGATTCCACAAAGTCCTCGAGCAGCGTGACAGGGCACATCTGATGCGTCGCCAAGGCTAAGAAGACGTCTGCCTGGCCGAAAAAAAAAACGCAACCGCCATGGGAAAAAAAAAACGTCTGTGATAGTAAATTCTATGGTGTATGAACTATATATATATACATAATGTGGGTGCAACAATAATCAACCATCCATGACTGGGAATGGTGAAAAAAGCACCGATAAAAATGGTGAAAGTGGGGATGGTTCATTATTGTTTTGCCAACATGAACCAAGATACGATATCAACCAGAACAATGAATATTTGAAACCTTATGAAAATAAAAATGTCACAGTATAGTCTAACAGCGTGTTAATATGAACCAATATTAGGTGGTTAGCATATCATGATGATAAGCCCCGTAAGAACCAAGATGAACATGTGGTACAACAACATGGTGCCATTCATCTGGTGAGGCACTCAGCTACTGTACCAGTACCTAAACGAAATAGAAGGGTGACAGTCGTGAATATCGCATTCTAATCGGTTTTTTGGGTCCTTTTTAGTATTTGATCCACAGCACGCGAATGCACGCGCTGTCACCTGTCGTCACCAAGCTACACAAAATTTCTGTTTCCGGGAAGCCAAATGGGCAATATCCTGACTTGGGTGCCGGCCTGTGCCGGCCCAAACGTTTAAACCTATCCTTTCCAACTATCAATATGTGTGACTATATATTATATTATATCATATATTATATTATATTATATTATATTATATTATATTATATTATAGTCTATTATATTATATTAAACTATATTAAACTATATTAAATTATATTATATCAAACTACATTATATTACATTATATTATATTATATTAAAATACATTATATTACATTATATTATATTATACTAAACTACATTATATTACATTATATTACATTATATTACATTATATCATATCTTATTATATATATATATATCATATATCCATATTCATCCTGTAGCCCCACGGCATCACGGCGCACACGGCGCACCATCTGTCGCGGGGACAAGTCTTTGGCACATGCCAGAAGGCCACCGTGCACCTGACGCCACGGTGCCCTAAAGTGGAAGGATCATCCCTTACCCTCTGGTAAACAAACAGTTTATATGGAATATACATGGAATACATGGAATACATGGAATACATGGAATATATGGAATATATGGAATATATGGATATATTATGGAATATATATATATATATGGAATATATATGGAATATATATGGAATATATATGGAATATATATATGGAATATATATGGAATATATGGATATACCCTCTGGTAATTTGTTACAGTTTGCTATTGAAAATGGCCATAGAAATAGTTGATTTACCTAATAGCCTGGTGATTTTCCATAGTTTTTGGTATGTTTACCAGAGGGCAAATCGCTTGGGGTATGGTTTTTTTCCTTTTCCCAAATGATTTCCCCAAATACGCAACGCACATCCTGAGAAATCGTCAAAAATGGACAGGTGGACTGGTCGCCCATCTCGGGTCACTCGATCCACCAATTCGCAAAGTCATCTCACTAAATTGGAGGTACCTATCATAGGACAGGTTGGTGGAAAATTCCCATCTGGGGACAGGTTGACTTAATGGCCATTTGTAGTGATTTAATGGGATTTTATAGTGATTTAATATAAGGCCTATTTTTCAGGGCTATGTAAGGGAATATTCCCACAATTCATATGGCCAAACCTATGGTACTAACGTACCTCCATTTTAGGATCCTGAAATTCCCATTGATCATCTCCATGTTTGATGGCTATACCGACGTAAATCATGCAAAATGCCCATGTTCGATCACCATCTTGTGCACACAAAAACCCCACAAAACTCCACAAAAGTAGAAGCTATCACCTAAAATTGCACCCAACTGGAAAATACAAGCTGAACAGAGGTTTCAACCCACCAAATAGTGGTCGTTGGCGATTGTCATCCCAGTTCAAACATGGCTTGCTGGAAAATCCACCATCTTCCACCATTCAGTTCGTTGATATTCCCGGCTATAAACGTCCGATAACACGTTTGGGGGATCTTCGAATAATTGCCACGTTCGATGACACTGGAGGGTATTGTAAGTGTCATTCCCCATTATGAATCACCAGAAAACCACTCTGAACATCACTTAACCATGATTTTTCGCAACCATTAGACCAAGAGAAAACCACTATTAACCACCAGGAATTCATGGGGACTTCGCCTGTTGCCAGAAGACCGGCATCTCATGCTGCAGCGTGGCTGCGCTCAAGGCTAGGCCGCTCAACTGCCCAGGTGGCAGCTCCAAGACGCCTCGCAGCTAGGGCCAAAAAAAAGCTGAGCAGTGTGAAATAAATCCCTCTATCATTCCATTATTCTGGTTGGTTTGTAGATATAGATGTATGTATATTATATATATACTGTATAATGTTGATATATCATGGTATATTATGAGTATACATGATTATATCATGATTATAGTCAATGATTGTGTCATGATTATGTCATGATCCCAATGTTTAAAAATCCCTCTATCATTCCATTATACTGGTAGGTTTATAGGGATTCCTCTATTGGATTATTACAATCCCCAATATATATTGGGTAGTATAATCCCCGAACTAATCATCAACCAGCATCAACCAGAGGTTTTGAACACTGCTCAGCTGTTGGCTTCACGGGGGATACAAATTTAGTAACCAAAGCTAACTATAGTATTCATGGATTTACAAACCAACAAACATCACTGGGCAGGAATTTCTGGGACTTGAGAACTGGTCAACCAGTTGTCCCAAAACTGCTGATTGGCCATTTCGAACGAGGACTGTTCTTCAGCCAACATCCAACATCATACAAGCCTTATCCTACATCTGGTTCGATGATGGAATTACAATGGGAATCATCCTTTAAAATGCTAAATATGAGTTTGTTTTCTGTATATACTATATACAACCAGACAGCTCAATTTCCTCAGACACTCTCAAAACACTCTACATAGTGCGTCATTCTGGTGTTCCTGAAGTTTCAGATAGGGAACCTGTGCGTCAGGTTAGTTCTTGAACCCTAAGACCTTGGAAACCCAAAACTGATGTTAGTGGAATTTATAAGGAACCCCCATTCCCATGCTACTCCCATACTACTCCCATTTCAGAAACCCCTATAAATTACATCCAGTGACGTTGGGCGAAGTGAGGATCACCATTATATTATATATATATATATATTATATATATTATATATATATTATATATATATTATATATATATTATATATATATTATATATATTATATATATATTATATATATATGTTATTTACAATGGTTTAAAAACATGGTCAATGGTTATCACATGCCAGATTCCATGTAATCCACTTTGTTGGATGCCACCAGAGTTGGTCAAGGGACACCCCTCCAGGGCATTGATCAGCGGCCCACCGGGTGGTGGCTCGAAAGGCCTCACTGCCCAGGGCAGCTTTTGCGACCGACAAACCGCCACTGCTCAGGGCATGAAAAAAACAGCAACCAATGGTTATATCAGCACTAATCATGGTATCATGCTGGGGTAATCGTCGTATAATTATTAATTATGCTATAATTATGCTATAATCATGCTATAACGGTTAGGTGTGGGGAAATCTCAACATCATTTAGCGATACTTATCATACTTATCCATCACTCATGGTAAAATGATGGTAGCTAAGGGAAAACATCCCAAGAATCTCCAAAGATTGTGTGAAATCTGGTTCGGGACTCAGGACTCAAGTCATCCAAACAAGCCTTGGTTCATCCTTGGTTCAACCAATGGTCAACTGGTGCCCTGGGCGATCTTGCGGCCAAGTTGACAACAATGACAAGGACCTATCGGAACTGGCAGTAATTCGTTTCTTTTAGTGGGATAGCTACATGGGGGTTTCCATAGTCATGGGGGTACCCCTTTATCGATGGATGATTGACAATGAAAAGTCCCAATCTATATCCATATCCATCTATATCCATCAAGGTTTCCATAAATGGTGTTACCCCAATAGCTGGATGGTTTATTGGAAAAGTCCCAATCTATACCCTCTGGTAAACTAACATAGCTATTGAAAATGACTATTTCTAGTTGATTTACCCATTGAAAATGGTTATTTTTCATAGCAAACTGTTAGTTTACCAGAGGGTAGAATGGATATATAACCAATCTTAACCACTGGTTGATGGTTTCACGTTTTTCTTTTCCGCCACGTAAATGGATGACTGAGGGTACCCCCATGACTCAACGGAAACCTCTACATCGACTTTGGCCAAGTTTCCGGAGACATCCTGGGACACCCTGCCATGGTCCCAACTGGGATAAGGCCACAACCTCGGCTCACATTATCATTTTCCACAAGATCGTTATGGTTGCTAGTATCATTATTGTTATGCATCTATATATATATATATATATGTACATATATATGTATGTATGTATGTATGTATGTATGTATGTATATGTATATATATGTATATATGTGTGTGTTTGTGCCCTTGAACCCAACACAATTTAAGAATAACTCATTTCATTTGAGTGAATATTTTGATGAATTCTTCAGTAAAATGAATGATACCTTACCCCTAACATTAAACACCCCCAATATCAACCATGGTTTCGTAGCGGAGGAAATCACATATATTGGGACCCATCATTTCGGATGTGTTTAATGTTGGCACCTGATTAGTAGCATGGTACTCTATTGTGGCAAACTTTTTCCTCCTTATTCAGTAACCTGCTGTTTGGTGGGGGGGGCCTCTATTGTGGCAAATGTTTTTCCAGATTTTTTTTTTAAAATTGTTCCTAATTAATTAATTATTTTTTGAATTAATTTTCAAATTGGTTACTTAAAAATGTTTTTCTGTTTTTCATTTTTTTAAATTAAAGCTTTCAAATGCAAGGTTTTCCAAATAATTAGATGCCTTATTAAACCCTTATTAAAAAAACAGCATCCAGACAATTTTTCAAGGGGGTACCTTATGAGTGGCTCAGTTACTCAATAATATGAATGTTTGGATGGTACTCTATTGTGCCAAGCAACTTTTGGGATTGAAAAAAATCAAAAACCTTCTCCACCTTTCTTTGAGTAAAGCTGGTCCATTTACTTTAGAAAGCCATATTTGTGTAAAATCTTTAAAATGCAAGGTTTTCCAAATAATTAGATGCCTTATTAAACCCTTATTAAAAAACAGCATCCAAACAATTTTTCAAGGTGGTACCCCATGAGTGGCTCAGTTACTCAATAATATGAATGTTTGGATGGTACTCTATTGTGCCAAGCAACTTTTGGGGTTGAAAAAAAATCAAAAACCTTCTCCACCTTTCTTTGAGTAAACCTGTTCCATTTACTTTAGAAAGCCATATTTGTGTTAAATCTTTAAAATGCAAGGTTTTCCAAATAATTAGATGCCTTATTAAACCCTTATTAAAAAACAGCATCCAAACATTTTTTCAAGGGGGTACCTCATGAGTGGCTCAGTTACTCAATAATATGAATGTTTGGATGGTACTCTATTGTGCCAAGCAACTTTTGGGGTTGAAAAAAAATCAAAAACCTTCTCCACCTTTCTTTGAGTAAAGCTGGTCCATTTACTTTAGAAAGCCATATTTGTGTTAAATCTTTAAAATGCAAGGTTTTCCAAATAATTAGATGCCTTATTAAACCCTTATTAAAAAACAGCATCCAAACAATTTTTCAAGGTGGTACCCCATGAGTGGCTCAGTTACTCAATAATATGAATGTTTGGATGGTACTCTATTGTGCCAACAACTTTTGGGGCTGAAAAAAAAAACAAAAACCTTTCTCCACCTTTCTTTGGGTAAAGCTGGTCCATTTACTTTAGAAAGCCATATTTGTGTTAAAGCTTTAAAATGCAAGGTTTTCCAAATAATTAGATGCCTTATTAAACCCTTATTAAAAAACAGCATCCAACAATTTTTCAAGGTGGTACCCCATGAGTGGCTGAGTTACTCAATAATATGAATGTTTGGATGGTACTCTATTGTGCCCAACAACTTTTGGGGTTAAAAAAAAACAAAAACCCTTTCTCCACCTTTCTTTGAGTAAAGCTGGTCCATTTACTTTAGAAAGCCATATTTGTGTTAAAAGCTTTAAAATGCAAGGTTTTCCAAATAATTAGATGCCTTATTAAACCCTTATTAAAAAACAGCATCCAAACAATTTTTCAAGGTGGTACCCCATGAGTGGCTGAGTTACTCAATAATATGAATGTTTGGATGGTACTCTATTGTGCCCAACAACTTTTGGGGTTGAAAAAAAATCAAAAACCCTTTCTCCACCTTTCTTTGAGTAAAGCTGGTCCATTTACTTTAGGAAACCATATTTGTATTAAAGCTTTAAAATGCAAGGTTTTCCAAATAATTAGATGCCTTATTAAACCCTTATTAAAAAACAGCATCCAGACAATTTTTCAAGGGGTACCTCATGAGTGGCTCAGTTACTCAATAATATGAATGTTTGGATGGTACTCTATTGTGCCAAGCAACTTTTGGGGTTGAAAAAAAATCAAAAACCTTCTCCACCTTTCTTTGAGTAAAGCTGGTCCATTTACTTTAGAAAGCCATATTTGTGTTAAATCTTTAAAATGCAAGGTTTTCCAAATAATTAGATGCCTTATTAAACCCTTATTAAAAAACAGCATCCAAACAATTTTTCAAGGAGGTACCTCATGAGTGGCTCAGTTACTCAATAATATAAATGTTTGGATGGTACTCTATTGTGCCAAGCAACTTTTGGGGTTGAAAAAAATCAAAAACCTTCTCCACCTTTCTTTGAGTAAAGCTGGTCCATTTACTTTAGAAAGCCATATTTGTGTTAAATCTTTAAAATGCAAGGTTTTCCAAATAATTAGATGCCTTATTAAACCCTTATTAAAAAAACAGCATCCAGACAATTTTTCAAGGGGGTACCTCATGAGTGGCTCAGTTACTCAATAATATGAATGTTTGGATGGTACTCTATTGTGCCAAGCAACTTTTGGGGTCGAAAAAAAAAAACAAAACCCTTGAAAGTAAATTGAAATCAATTGAAAGTCAATTGAACGTAAATTGAATTCAATTAAAAGTAAATTGAAAATCAATTGAAAGTAAACTGAAATCAATTGAAAGTAAATTGAAATCAATTAAAAGTAAATTGAAATCAATTGAAAGTAAATTGATTTCAATTAAAAGTAAATTGAAATCAATTCAAAAAAATTGTTGAGGGTGGGGGGGCGCAAAAAAATGGTCAGTTATTGAGTAGACTAAAATTGTTTGAGGGGGGGGGGGGCCCGCCCACTAATCAGTCGACAACATTAATATGAATGGGGGATGGGATTAGCCCCTCTCTGGTAAACTAACATAACTTTTCGAATATCACCATTTTATAGGTAAATCAGCGAACTAAATGAACCAGTTTCATCCATTTTCCAAAGTGGTGTTAGTTTACCCTAACATAGCTATTGAAAATGGCCATTTATAGTTGATTTCCCCATTAAAAATGGTGATTTTCCATAGTTATGTTAGTTTACCAGAGGGCAACAAGTAAATTCCAGGGGTTTCTCCAGATGTCCTGCATTCGGCAGGTCATTTCTGAGCTCCTCAGTGTCACTGCTCCAGCACCGGCGAAGACTAAGAAAAACTGAGACCCCGACAGCACCGACGAGTCCTGACGGGTGAACCACATGAAATACCCCCAGTTATATGTGGAATCTCGCCCGAACTATATAGATATACTATGTATATAGGCATCCTATGTAGTATAATATAGTATAGTATAGTAAAAATATAATATAATATAATATAATATCACATAATAAAATATAATATAATATAATATAATATAATATAATAAATTATAATAAAATATAATTTAATATTTTATTTTATTATGTGATATTATATGATGTTATATTATATCATATTTTATTATGTGATATTATATTATACTATAAAATATAAAAAATACAAAATATGATATATATATATATATATAATAGAATATATGTAATATAAAATATGTAATAAATTATATGTAATAGAACATATGTAATATATATGTATATAATATAGTATCTAATGTAATCTATTTAAAAATATATATATATATATATTATATTATATATGTATATATACATATATTAATATATATATATATATAAATATTATATATATATAGAAAATATAACATGTATACATAATATATAATATAATATATATTGCGAAGGTGTTCCCCTTGATGTGCCTAGTTGTTGGCCCCCTTTTCCTTTTAAGCAAGTAGGCGGCTAGCTTTGCAGGGCCACGTTCAAGTTGACCTCTTTGACGCTTTTGGCTCAAGGTTTGGCTCAAGGGCCAAGGCTTGTGGCTTAAGGGCTAAGCTTTTGGCTCAAGACATAGCTGACGCCTCGTTCGACGTGAACAGAAAGCGCTTGTGGGCTGGCGGGGTCCGTTGAGACGCTTGTTGTAAGTTCACAATATATAATATCTATGAAATATAATATAATACAATATAATATAATATGATATTATATTATATTACATAACACAATATAATATAATATAATATAATATAATATAATATATATAATATAATATAATATAATATAATATAATATAATATAATATATATACATATATATATAATATGTAATATAATATATGTAGTAAAAAAAAATATTATGATATAATATATATAATAAAATATTATATAAAATATAATATAATATAATATAATATAATAAATATAATATATTATAAAATAATATAATATATATATATATATATATCATATTGTAAAATAAAGATTATTTAATATAATATAGATTATAAAATATAATAAATTTAATATAATATAATATATATATATGTGTAAAATATGTATAATATATATAATGTAATATATACTATAATATATATATATATAATATTCTAATATATTTTCTATTTGTACTTAGATAATATATAGTATAATATTTATATTTTACTATATATATATACATAATATATATTATAATATTTATATAATACAATACAATATAATACAAAATAAATTATATTATATATTATATCAAATAATATTTTATATATTATATAAAATATAATATTTATAATGTAATATAATATATATTTAATATAATATATAATGTATCATAAATACTGTAATGTATAATACATATCATGTATAATATTGAATAATATATATATATAATGTGTAATATAATATATAAGTATATGTATATATTGATATTGACCACTTACTACTTGTTATATTGATATAGACCACTTACTACATGGGATGCACATCAATCCAAGTATCCCTCATTTCACCCTGGGACCCTGGTGTTCAAACGAAAAATCACTGGCAGTTCTGGATGTTTATCCAACAAACATGGCATTAGCTGTGGAAATGGATACGAATCCCCTCGAAATATGGTAGCGTTGCTATATACTTGTTGACTGAAATATTTCATGATGTTTCCTCAATCAATATCATTTTTCGGTTGCCCCACAGCACTCAACGATCAAGTGATGTTAACCCCCCCATGGTTCAATCAACTCTGGACCCTGTCTTGGTGCTTATCAAAAATCTGACTGTTTTTTTCTGTTCCCATATTTTTGCCTAGACAGTGCAACTTTGAGAAGAGTTCCATCAAATTTGATGCTTTTAAAAAATATTGATATCTCCAAAATCATCGAATTTGATTTACCCTCTGGTAAATTAACATAACTATGGAAAATCACAATTTTCTAGCTGGGTAAATCCACTATTTCTATGGCCATTATCAATAGCTATGTAACAAATTACCAGAGTGTAAGTTCATAAAAATCTTCAAAAACAAAATCATCAACCATCAAATCATCAATATGAAAAGTTCCACAATCTTGTTTTCATCGAGCCATACTGTGGATGGGCCAGCGAAATCCCAAGCACCAGTTGATAGATGGTAAACATCCCATTGTTTTGGTTTCAACCATCCAAAATTGGTGGTGCAGGATTTCGCTGGCCCATCCACAGTAGTACCAATGATTTTGGTGTTCACCAGAGTTTGACAGTACCCATATTCCCATGATCTTCACCAGAGTTTTCATGGTTGATATCTCCAATAAACATTGCCAATCAGCCAGATACCCTGCAAAAAATGGACCAAATTCTTTGCTGGTGAACGGTTCGATAATCCCATTGATACCAAAAGACTAGTTAGGATTAGTTTGTATCCATCCAGTCGATTGACTTAGTATAGACTAACATAACTATGGAAAATCACCATTTTTCATGGACAAAAATCCACTATTTCAATGGCTATCCATCCATCCATCTAAGATTGACCTAGATATATTATGATATATTGAATTCTCCATTTTCCCATTATTTTCCCATCATTTTCCTAATAAAAAACCACTAAAAACCGTGGTTCCCTCGTGGGCTCCATGCGTGTCCCGCCTGGCGCTGGCAAGTCACTGGCGCAATGCTCCAACTGCACCGCCACCTGAGATCCGAGATATTCCCAATATGTACCATGGTAAGGGAATATAAATAAATATATATATATAATATAATATATTTAACCTTAGATATATATATATATTATATTATATATATAATATTATATATATATAATATTATATTATATATATAATATTATATTATATATATATATTATATTATATATATATATATTATGGTAGGTAGCTCCAATTTCAGTCCCTGAAATGTCCATTGATGGGGTATTAAAAATATCATGTGAATATGTGAGTTTACAAATTTCGCTCCTCCCAGATGGCTACAGTCATTCAAAATGGATGACCGGTAGCCGCCTGCGAGGAAGACAATGGAGTGATCTAGCTGGTCGATGGCTTTATGAAATGAAATCCTCGGTCCCCTTAAATCCTCTAAGTTTCCCCTAAATTTTGTAGATACTGCTTGCCCTGTTTTCTCTAACACGGCAAAAATCTCTTATCAAAAGGACTGTTTCATGGGAAAATCAACTATCGAGGCTGGAAATTCCATTGGGAATGATTACCAGATAATGTGGGTAAAACAATAATAAAGCCTCACCCAGTCATCACCATGTTTATAGGTGGTATGTTTACCATTCCCAGTCATGGCTGGTTTATTATGGTTTGTGGCATTGTTTTACCCACGTTAGCAACCATCAGTTGGCAATATAACCCCATTAATAACCATTAATAAGCCTACTAATAAAGGTGGTATAAACCATCAATCATCATTAGTCATTAATAACCCACATTAGTACATACCCTCTGGTAAACGTTTACATAACTATGGAAAATCACCATGTTCAATAGGAAAATCCACTATAAATGGTCATTTTCAATAGCTATTTTGACATAACCAGAGGGTATCTTCGTTAAACCCCCCACGTGTTTTTCCTCCAGACCTCCCAACACCGGGGCCCCCAAAGACCCCCCCGATGCTGGGGGCGGCCTCCTGCAGTACTTCCGGCGGCTCCCGCAGCGAGAGCGAGGACATCAGCAAGGCCAAATGGACCTCAGAAAAGATCAGATGATGTTCATCCTATATGTTAATTAAATTTAATTAACATATCTATGTACATATCTATATAAATTATAAAATTATCCTACATGATCCTAAATGATCCTATATGTTAATTAACATACTGTGGATGGAAGAAATCCTGCACCAGTTGGGAACTATGAAAGGTACCTATGAAACACTGTAAATAATGGGATTATAATGGGAAAAACCATTTACCAACTGGTGCAGGATTTCTTCCATCCACAGTATCTATGTACATATCTATGTAAATTATAAAATTAACCTATATGATCCTATGTGATTATATATGTCTAGACGGGTATCCATTTGCACATATACAATCATATACATATGTCATTATGTCATATCATATGCACATAACTCTTCGTGAATGCACATACATGCGTATCTCTTTATACATAAATGCTAGATGATACAGCTCAGACAGATAGTGGATAATGGTATGCCGTATTCAGAACGGCTTTGGGGGGCAGGTGGTGTTCACGGAAACTTGAGACTGTAACCATCTACAAACTAAAGATAACTGTTGTAGGTGCGTGTAGACAGAGGTATTGAACATCTACAAGTTATACAAACATCTATATACTTGAAATTAAAACAAAAATCACCAATAATTCTTGGAAAATGGATATGTGTGGGCAAAGATGCATGATATATCTGAAGCTGAATGCCATTGAAAAAGTGGCAGTATGGCGCGCTCATCACTTCATCACTTCATCATAGGCCCTGCACTAGAAACCAACCTGCCAGTAGTAGGAATACATTATGTACATTATGTATCGGATATCATATATCTAACTCCATTTGGACTAGACTGGGAATCAGTAGAAACCCGAGCTTCATCACTAACCAACAGGCTCAACCGGGCATAGCTTGGCATAGCTATCCCAGCGGTCCCCATTTGGCGTCCATTTTCACTGCAGGCGATAGTTGAGTATATGGGGTGAATGGCCTCGAGTCACTCCACGAGAATGGCACATCCAAAGTTGCCCGAGCGCACCAAGTTCTCGGAACAGAGGAAGAGTGCGCCATGTGCAGCAGTAAGCACATAAATTGATGTAGAAATATGTAGAAATGGCAGCCATGGAGCTCCCCTGAGTCTACCAGAAAGTCTTCCGCAGCAATCCTGAGAGGACAATCCCGAAGCAACTGACCCAGGTCCGCATCATTTCCGCCGAGCCAAGCTTGGGCACAGGATCAGCTGAGTCCAGCTGCTCCAAACGGCCAGGCCTTGTGGATCTCCATCTGTGTCGAAGAAACGCATGTTGCGTAGGGTGGAAGGCCCAGGTGTGGAGAGGAATCACTACGGCTGGGCAGTTTGGATCCAAGAATCCAGGCAGCTTGCGTCCAAGTTCCTGAGACCCCCAAAAGTCATGGCAGGCGTTTCGCAATCAGCTGCGCTAGAAAACCCTGAAATAATGTGGGTTCACCATGGTTCACCCAATTTCATCAACCCTAAACCCATTCCATGACCGTTCCATAATGGGCGGGGTTTCAACCATCCCCAGTCATTTTAGTGGTGGCAGCCAGGGTTTACCTCATGTTCATCCTGCTTTGGTCTGCATTTAGCCATCAAAAATGAATAGTCAGGCTCAACGAGGATCAGGAAAAGTGCAACAAGAAGACGCAAAAACAGTGAGAGCAAGGAGTAGAAAGGCTTGTGGATCATAATTGAATCCAGGTTCTGAATGTGGATCCGAAATGGTATAGTTGTGAACGATTGTTTCCACTCCAATGGAAAACATCTTGGACAGCATTCAGTACAGCACTCCAAGCTTCACGACAACTCAGTTCCGGAAGTGTTGGGAGTTGTTCCATTTGAAGCCCACGCCATAGTAGTCCTTGGTGCCCAAAGATCTGGAGGGATCATCATCCCACATGGAAAATCAACACGCCTCGAAACTCCCAACCTTTCTGTCATTCCAAAACTCAGAAAGGATTTGCGGCGCTATTCACTCAGATGCATAACGAATAATGGGCCCCACAAGCCCAATCACTTGTTGTGGGCAGAACATAGCAGAACCAAAGGGGCAGGGGAAAAAAGACCATGCAGTATGTCTATGTGATGCAGACTCGTCTTCGCACTTGAAATTCCCATGCTATTTCTTTCGATGTTTAGCAAGATCCGAACTCGGATCGTCCAGTGTGCCCATTGTGCCCATCAATTTCTCAGTCTGTTGCTTGGTGGCTCATCCCACTTAGTACGTGGGTTATAACCCCACTGATTTCAGTGGATTAACCCTACAAAAATCCCATGTAAATCACTGGGGTTATAACCCACTTACGAGCCGTGGGTAGTTCGCCACCAAGTGGTGTCCCATGGTTCCAGATTTCCCGGTCCCTTCGAGGCGATTCGAGACTCTGCGGATTGCCAGAGGCCTTCGAGGCCTGATTCGCTCCCTTCGCAGTCCGGATTGTCACCTGAACAAATGGACAATGAACTGCACTGAAAAGTTGGATAAATGGCTGGTAAATGGTTGGTCAATGGTATGTTTGGTAGAAACTTTGAAAGTGGGTGGTAAACAGCTGGCAAATGGGTGGCGCGCGTTTGAAATGATTGGTCAAGTTGGCAAATGGCTTGGAAGCGTTAGTATCACATGGCACTTTGGCCAAACTAAAACTCTTCGATTCATCCGAACCCAAGTGCAAATCATGTCTATTCGCGCGAATTCCATTCCTGGGTCAATCATGATTCATCCATCTGCTTTCTTGGGTCTTTTCAGCCCGGCAAACCCCGAAATCGTAGGTAGAATTCATAATTTATGAGGACCCCAAATCAAGAACTCTCAAGATTTATGCTTCACAGTTGGCATAGCATGGTAACCTGGATATATGATGATATATGGCCTATTGATGTCATTGATGTTGACTGTTTTAACCATCCCGGACCACCGTCCCCATAGTTGGGGAGCAAACTCCTTCCGGAAGGACTACTTGGTGTGAACCCATCCACACAAAACCACCAAATATGCTCCAACAAAAAGCTAAAAATGAAACCCAAAAGCAGCCATTCCCACTAGGAAAAATCATGTTGCAGATTCACTTCTGAGGTCTCTGGAAAGTTTTCAGGCTTATTCACCTAGAACATTGCCTCGCTCACCACTCTGCCATGGCGCCAAAGATATACAAGAAGGATGGAAGGCCCTCAGCATGCACGTTCCTCACGCCTCGGAAGGCGGCAAATGATTCTCTTCAACCAGACATCCCACTAAAATCAGGGGTTGGTAACTGTCCCATTTTGGGTATATTAGACATCACCTTATAATAGCCATTATAGACCATATACCTAATGGTTGGGTGGTTCTTTTCATGTGCGCCTCTTGAACGCTCCAGCGTCAATAAGAGATACCTTCTGACCTGGGCGTTTGCCTCAGATTCCCCTACAAAGTGATGCTCAACGGTTGGCTTTATGGCAGATATCTCTGTGGCTACTGTGGTTTTAAGTCAACAAACATCACTATATAGAGAAATATCTACCATAAACCATAGCCTGGGCTTGATTTGTAAACCATAGGAACTATAGGGGGGCACCACCTATAGTATCAACCCCCGCCTCGCACCGTGCTGCGGTGCAGCAGACGCAACGCTCCACCGGCATCGGCCGCCGCCGCATCAGCGCGGTGCGCCACTGCCAAGTTATCCACCAAGAGAAGGTCGCCCGCCTAGCGGCCGGCGACCCCGCCGATTTTCCGTCAACCCAAATGCTGATCGAACTGGAGGATTTAACCATGAAACTATGGGCATAATCTTGGGAGAATCTGGGGTTAATATGAGTTCATATCCCATGACGGATCCATGGTGCTGCTATATCTGGTAACATGGATCCCATCAATATATCCCCTTTATGTAAACGCATATATACCAGCACCATGGATCCGTCATGGGTATAGGGATAGTATACGGATAAACCAACACTTCAAAAACGTGATGAAAAATGGGAATTCACCGAGAAATATTTAAGGGGAAATCATGATATTACATGATATGACCCACCGTTGTGTCATCCAACGTGGCTGGGAAATCCCTGAACTCAATGGAGTCTAAAATAGCTGGGAAAATCATCTGTAAATTATGGGGAGTTCGCAATGTTTGAAATTGGGTGTTCAAAGGGGCGGGGAAGCCGAAGGAGTTTGAAACAGAACATATGAGAAAGATATCAATTGATTTCTTTGCTGGTAAGTTTAATACAAGAATGGGAATAAATTAGAAAACCAAGCCAAAACGATTATAATGATTGTCTTTGATGTCTTCAATCTACAGCAATTCCATACAGAAGCCCCAATCAAAGTGGAGATATGACCAACTGAAAATGATGAGAAAAAACAAGACTATCTAGCAATGTGTTGTAACACATGTACTATCTATCCAGTTTTCTATCCATGAATTGATGTGTTCAAATGCATTCCTGCACCGCTATCTGTATACGTCTTGATCCTAGCCTCTTGGACATGTCAAGAATCAAGAAACATCTACAGTTACCCACTGGTAATTTAACATAGCCATGGAAAATGGCCCATAGAAATAGATGGTTTACCTGGGTTTACCTATTCAAAATGGGTGGATCTTTCCATGGCTATGTTAGCCATAACCAGATGGTAACAATGCCTAATGACATCTTTGTGGCTTGCAAATACCCCGTGACCTGCGGGTGAAAAACTGGTTCTCCTCGCCTCGTAGCGATGTTGAAAATGTACTTCGGGGCGATTGAGCAGTGCGTCGTAGCGACTCATCACAGCTGCAGCCTCTGAAACTGTGAGGCAGCAGGCAAGAAACTCACTGGTTTAATCCAACAAAAAATGGAATGTCATGATTAAACTTGTTGGATTAAAGAAAGTAAGTTGATATCATCCTCTGGTTTAAGAAGCACAAAATAGCATGATATCAACCGGCAAAAAGCCAACTTGAACCAACACATCAAGAATCCCCGCTATTCTGCAGCGCAAAGCTGGTATTCCGGATCCATCAAACAGGTAAAATCTGAAAACAAAACCACAGATGAAAGCGAATTGGTTTCTCATTGACGATGCACCCCAATTTCAGAGAGTGTTTGTTTTGATATGTGTTAATATGTTGAAGGGATATAATATGGATATTTATTATATATATATATACATATGTGTGTGATACTATTGATACTATTGATATACGTCTACACACGTAACCAATATATCTATTCTTACGTGTTTATCTATTGTAAATGGTCTAGTGATTCTAGTGACAGGATTTTTGGGCTTTGCCTGGAACGCGTTGCATCATGTTGGAGTGATGACGTTGTACTGCGTATGTTACAGTGGTTTGTAACTTCTGGTAGCCTACCCTCTGGTAAACTCACATAACCATGGAAAATCAACATTTGTGATGGGTAAATCAACTATAAATGGCAATTTTCAATAGCTATGTTAGTTTACCAGAGGGAATCAGCTGTCCTTTTTCCAACTCAGGGGTCAAGAGAGCCTTGATCCCCTTCTGTAAACCCGGATAAGCAGTATGGCAAACATTGTGCCATGAAATCTTCGTATGTAAACCCCTCCTGCGAGTATTTCTAGGCTCATTCCCACGTAGGATCACCGTGTTGTATACCCCTAGCCTCCGGCGCCGAAAGAGTGCGGTAGCCCGACGGCAGCGAGACCCCTGGGACCTGGGAAGCCACGGACAAACCATGGATATTGGAGCTGTTTAATATGAACGGGGCTGTTGGGATGACGAAAGTGTTTCCAGGATGGTACAAATACATACAAAAATTGGTGCAAATGAGATCTACCATCTGGTTATTTAACAGTTCGCCATGGAAAATCCCCATGCTATTAATAGGTAAACCATCTATTTCTATGGGCCATCTATACCATGGCTATGTCAGTCATAACCAGAGGGTACCTCATACTGACTCATACTTCCCAGGTGTCCAATATCTTTATCTATGTTTGGGGTTGCCCAAGTAGGTCCACTTCCATCATCGCTTTCAGCAGAGCACCATTCCTTCCATGTCTGGATATGGACTGGATGCTGTGCTGTTCCTGAGCAACGGGAAGTGCTTTGAAGCCCAACCAAAAAAAAGAAACCTGTGGTCAACTTAAGATTACCCTCTGGTAATTTAACATAGCTATGGAAAATCACCATTTTTAATGGGAAAATCCACTATTAATGGTCATTTTCAATAGCTATGTTAAATTACCAGAGGGTAAACACCAGTGTTTGAAGATTTATAGTTTCAGAAATGGATAGAAATGGCAAATTTTGGGTGGAGATGTCCCAAAAAATGGACATTACATTTGGACCATCTGCTTGGGTTTCCCTTCGCTAGCAGGACTAGCAGGCCTGAAGCTTTACATCCTGGGTCTTTCTTGAAAGCAACAAACTTCATGGTGACATGGTCATCAAGCGAAAACGAAGCACTTCACGAAGAGAAATGGTGATACAACTGATACAACCCAAAGTGATGCTGATGAGTGGTTATGTTTGGAAAAACTCAATTGTGGCAAAGGAGCACTTTAATTGAACGACAATGGGGCGAACCATACTTACGACGAAGAGCTCACAACTTACAAGTAACCCATCCATGCGTTGTGCACTTGGGAATATTCTCAAGCCTCGACATGGGAGGGTTGAGTAATGACAAAAATAAAAGTGAATTACCCCCTGGTAATCAAACGTGGCAATGGAAAATCCCCCATAAATGGAGGTGTTCATAGGGAAAATAATCTGTAAATGGGGACACTCTGTATCAATATATGGCGTATCATGGTCAGCTGCTACCAAAGGCACCAAGATATCAATGCACCCGTCTGCCCTAGATGAAGGAATAGCACCTGCAGCAACCCAAAGCCTGAGTTTTTGTCCTCCAAAACAATGTTTTGCCACAGAGAAGTCTCAAAATGATGTGTCAGGCATTGGTTCAACCATGAGAGCCAATCCGTTGTTCCTGTAATTCCCCACTGGTCTCAGATGTTTACCATTTTTGCTGATCACAAACCCACTACAGTTGATAGTATATTTACCTTCATATTACTATATTCCATTATATCAATTATATCCAAATTATATCCCTATATATAAATCCGTGCGGTTGCATGCTGTTGTTGATGAACCCCCTATTTTTGTTGTCTAATCTTCGCACTCCACGCTGTCTGATCTGTTGCCGTCACCGAGAGCCTTCTGACCGGTGATGGGATGGCGATGAACCAGGGGATGCACCGCTCCAGAGTAGGCGTTCACCTCGGACATGAGAATATGTTTTAACGTTTAGAATCCCATCCGCCATTCATATTATTCAACCATAATTCAACCATAGTTGATCATGGATATCTTATGGGAAGAGTCGGAATAGTGGACAATCGATGTTTTTTTTCACACCTCCATTCGGAAAAGTCCCAACTATCTGGTTTCATCCCCGGGAAAAAAAAACAGGGTTTTTGCATTGGGGGTGTTGAATATCAATGGGGGCATGTGATTACCAATGGCTCACCAAAAAGTCCATCAAGGTTCCCCGTTGCCTCTCAGCTGGGGTGATGGGCGCGGGTCAGCTGGAAACCTCCATTTAGTTCGGGGGATTTCCAAGTGCTACAAAATTAAACTTAAACAAAACAACTGGTGGGAACGGTGAACATTGCAACATCGTCCAGACTGTTCATTTTTCTCAGAAGATTCACTAGGTGCCAGGGTTACGTTCAGATCTATATATATATACCTAGAACCCATCTGTCCCCCAGAAATGGGTCAGACCCGAGATTCTCACAAAGTACGGCCCTCTTTGAAAAGTACGGCCCTTTTCCCAAACACCATTTTTTGGGAATTTCTGAATTCATGAAACATACCCTTGAGTTGTCAACACTGAGAGATGGAGAAGATACTTTGTCAATCTTGGCCACATGAAATATATTAATATATAAAAATACGCTTCTCATACAAACTAAAATGGGTTAAACCAGCACCGCCCTCACTCGCTCGTCCGACTTTTGGCCTGGACCCCAATGTCTCAAGCAAGTTCTCTGAAGCTCTGCACACAGCAGCCCTGTAAGAGTAAGAACCAAAAAATGTTCAGGTATCTAAGATGGTACATTGCATGGTTAGTATGTTAGTCGTATCCATCATCAGGGCCATCCACAGGCAGCTAAACAACTGCGCGACGCGTAGCAGCAAACAACCCCCGCTGATCTTTATCAGCTTTTTTCAGAAATTGCATAACGGAAATCAAACTTCTTTGGCAAACACGAAAGTGGACCCGCCTAGGAGCTACCCGACGGCTTAATCGACTTGGTCGCCCAATCCAATCTTCTTGCATTTGCACCGACTCACTTAATGGATTAATAGTCCATGTTGTTCCATCCTCTTGGGCCCTTTGGGACTCCCTCAACAGTTTCAAAGCACCATGGTGCAACATGTGTAATTTCGGGATGATGGCGAAGCGATTCAAACCACGTCGATAGACTATGGAGACTGCTTGCGAATACTTTTGCAAAAAAAGAAGCCATAACTTTGAAATCTTCAAGGCCCTGGGCCATCGAATGAAGAAGCCTTCATGGTACATAGCCGATATTGCTGTATTCATAGCTGAAGTTGCAGTCACCTGGGCAAACCAACAACATCAAATGGATAAAACCCTTGGGCTTCCCCCCAGAAAAAAAACAAACACAAATTAAACTATTGAAACTTTTTGTGGTGGTAATCAACATCTATGTTTATTGAATAGGATCAAACACCAAAGAAACAATCCCAATCCATCCCAGTGGCAATGGTTTGAAGCAAAGGATCATCCCCAAACTTGTCAGACCATATTTTGCACAAATACTCGAGAAACAACATGTAGTGAGTACTTGCACTCCCTTTGTTCCATGACCCAATAGGGCAAGCAGTTGATTGGTACCAGTTTAAAGAGTCCCGTCCAAGTTCCTCACAGTGTGGGCTAATTCGTTTTTCTTTGCAAAAGCGTTTGTACTCTGCATTCAGGATTTCAAATTTGTCATCCATTGACCCAACCTCAAGATCCACGTTTTCCAAGATTGAGACTAGAGCGCTGGCAACATAATGCTTGGCAACACCTAGGTGAAAATTGTGCCAGAGGTCTGTCTTGAAGAATTGCCACCTGTTCTCCTCTAGCAATGGAACACCTTCCAGTATAGCAGGCATTCCATCAAATGCATCTTGTTGACCCAGCGTTCCTTCCCAAAGAGGCTTACCCGAGGTGTCTTCAAATGGGATAGCAGAGATATTCTGGGATGGATTGGACTCACGACCAGCACAGCACATCCAACAAATTCCCTCACAAGGTTTCTTTGATGCTGCTTTCTTTGGGACATTCCCAAACGTATGATTCATTCTTCCCAGCTTAGCAAGAGCTGGGAGGTCTCCCTTTGTCCCCAAATGACAGCACCGAACCTGAATCAGCCCGTCCGTACTGCTAACACCGTTCAACAATAGGTCCTCCATGTCCCTGGCATAGACACCAACCAAACTATGGAGGATCTCCGGGTCCTTCTTGAAGAACTTTCGCAGCATGCAGCTGAAAAGAAAATTTGTTGTCCAAGTATGGCCACAAAAATTGAGACCAAACCCATTTCTTTTCAAAGGTAGCTTATCCTTCGATTTCTTGAGAAATGCCCTCGTTCCACGGCCTAATGCCCCATGAGTGCTCAACAGCCAAAACGCTTGTTTTTTATGGCCCCGACCCTCGTCGGAATGACTATAGACTGGGATAACCCATTTCAGGTCTACTGTACCAGCATCCCTCATAGCGAAGATTTGGTGTTCCGGGTCTATGGCTTCATAGCGTAGCCAGAACTCTTGTAGCTTCACTTGCATACTTTGTAGATCCGCACAAGCACACAACTGTTGCGCCAAACGTCCAGAATCCAAAAGATATTTGACCCATGTGGAAAACTTGATGTATGGCCAATTCTTGAAACGCTTTGTGTCAGAGAGGTCAACCTTGTTAATCTCAACTGGGCATGATAACTCGTGCTTCACCAACACATCATGCCCCCGTTGTTCTGCATCATTGGGCCTAACCGCTGCAAACTCCCGTAAAGCCTCGCTAGCTTGAGGGTTCTCAGAAACTTCGGCTGCAGCCAGCTCAACAACATGGCACATAGGTTCCTCAGCGAACAAGCGCAGGTGTGTGGAAGAAGTTGGTGGGATGATGGAACATCCCAGGGGTCAGGGGTGGATGAGTGAAGTCAAAGTGTTGGACACCTGCCACATGTACAAAAGTTAAATCCTGCACTTTTACAAGAATACTTTTTTCCTCTTTGCGCGCGCCCCAAAATTGTCAGATTTAATTTGCGATTGCAATCAGCCGACAGCTCTAAATTGATCAGCTCTGCAACCCACCACATAAAGGTAAAACGGAGGCTTGGGAGGTGTAGCCCGATTAAGAGCCCCTTCCCCTCCTGATTCCGGTTTGTTCCGGCACCCCACATGAGAACTGAACAAAGCTATGCATGCAGCCTCCAGCATTTGAATAGTGTCAGCACTTTGAGACACTGAAATCAGCCACATCCTGTCATACCCCTTTCCAATGTAATCAGCATATCTTTTGATGGGGTTGGATGTGACTCCCAACTTAAAAACGCACACCCGGACCCCAACTGATTCCCTAAATGCCGTAATTTGTGCCCTGGCATGTGCTAAGAGTTTGCCACATGAAGACACAGCACGGGTAGGCCGAACACAATGGTTCAAAAGACCATATGGTCGAACCAACTGCCAGTCAAAAGAAGATTCCGAATCAAATGTCTCACCCAGCTCACTTAGCAAAGCAGCAACTGCATCACCACTGTCCTCAGATACAGCCGGGGAGAGGCATGGAGAGATATCCTGAGAAAGAACAAAGTTTGGAACCCAAAACACATTCCACCCAAATCACATTGAGTCCTAACTGATTTATGGTAAAGTATTGAACTTCCATGTTGGATGGTTTGAAGTGGAAAGCAAACAACCATGGTCTTAAAGTTATTTGTGTTCAATGCTGGTTTCCATCCACATGTATATGCATATAAAGAAAAACTACATCTCTATATATGCACACATAAAGGCATACTGTTCCTGCATGCCATGGCGCTAGATGGTGCTTCGGCAGGGGATCAGGACTCGCAACGGTAGCACGGTCTGGTGATGGGTCCATTGATCTAGTGAAATATTCCATGTGCGGGTCCACATCATCGTCAATCAAATTGCGTTCTTCACTTGCTGCACTACACCTAAGATACCCATCAAAATCATCACCGAATCCAGTGTAGGGTTTGACACTCAAACTAAACCCCAGTTTGACCCACTGGCTGGCTTTGAAACAAGACACTTCACAGCTTTTGGACAAGGCCCTTCAGCAGGCTGCATAGATTCGGCTGGTCGCTTTGAAGATGAGGCATTGAGAAGCTCTCCGAACCAATCATCCATGTTGGCAGTGGCTGGCAAAGGTATTACTTTAGTTGTTTACGACTTCATAACACATATATAATTCTTAGACAGGTCAGAGGTGAACTTATTGTTTTATTTATCAAATGAGGTAGGCGTGGAATACAACCCTTTTTATCTCAGAAACAGGTTTCAGAAAACATATGGAGACTTTGTTGCATGCTTTCTTTCATAGGTCGAATTTTATGTTGAACCAATGGCTGAAAAATCATAGAAGTAGCAGCTATGGCTTTGGCTCAATAATTCACCTTGATCAAGTTGTTGAAGTGTCACACTCTATGCAGGAGATCTTTGAGGAAGAGACGCCTCGAGCAGCAAAGTTGGCAAGATTTTCCAGGACTCGTCCGGGTCCATTGTGGCGAGCACCTGGCATGAATTCAATGGCCACTGGTTTTACATGCATTATATAATTGAAATTACATCAGCTGAGACCTTTTTTTTTCTCACCGGTGTTCGATCTTCAGATTGTCCATGGAATCCGTATGTTGGATCCATGATCGCACGTGCGAAGCACATGATGTCCAAACCCCATTGAGTGAAAACATGATGCCATTGAGCCTCAGAATGAGGCCATCTTTCAACTAAGAAAAGTCCTTTCAAATTAAAAGGTCACTAGGATTCATAGCACAGCACACCAGCAACCATCACGGGCCACTGGGAGGCTGCTCCCCGACTCAAGCCCTCAGGATCACTCGTCATTCTTCGTCACCATCTTCAGAAGGTTCCTGAGCGAGAATGGGGCCAGCAAGGGAAGCATAAGGGATCAGGAAATCTTAGTTCTATCAACTGTTGGGGCATTGGGGTGCATTGGCCAAGGAAATTGAAATGATGTTGAAAAAACACTGGATCACTGGTTTGGGAAAACATTCAAAGTGCGGCGAAAGTCTTTGCAGTAGATTCAGCCGTGGTAACCTTTGCACACGCTTTCTGGGAGCGCTTGATCTGTTCCTCGACCAGGCCCTTCAACCTAAGTTGTATCAGCTGGATCAATGGGCCATCATTTTGTTCACGGATACAGTATCTATATTTGATAGGATCCTTCCAAACACATAAACATATATCATATAGCAGTCAATTGAAATCCCACATCAATTTAACATCAACTGTTTGAGATATTTTGAGATATTTTGAGATGGGCTACCTCTCGATCTCGGGTTGTTTCAATTTCCCAGTCTGGAGGTCATTGACTTCGGCCTTTGTCAACTGCACCGCTTCGAACTGCTCTTCAAGGATTGCCACGGCACCTTCTATGGTCTTCTGGGACCTAAGGGCCGGATGATTTGTTTTCTCTTATTTGTAAGGCCAGTGCAACTGTGGAGGCCATCATTTCATAGTGAATAGAATAGTGGACACAGGTTGTTTCAGAGAAAGTGATTTTGAATCTAAGTCAGCCACTTGTTGACTCTGTCACGGTGTGGGCTAGACTCATCTTGTTTCATCGCTTCATCCAACTTGCCAGACAGCTCATTCAACTTATTGACTTTGGTCAGCATGGCATCACCAAACTTCTTCAAAGATTGGTATTCCTGCATGGGTGCATTCAGGAAATCCACAAAAAATATATTCTAAAATAGTCTTGCCGTTTTAAACCAATAGGTCAAGGAATGGGTATGACAGGGTATGATATGAACATTCACTCCTGCGCCCCATCGTTGGCTTCGTCAGCAGTGTCGGGTTCCGACTCTTCTGGAGCCTGCTCAGGAGCCTGCTTACCCTTGCGCTTCTTTGGGTCCAAGGCCTGGAACTTGACCTTTTTTTGGATCTCCTGTCAGATTCAGATGGTTCAGCACTAAGTCATTGAAAGGTACCATACACTAACATGTACAAAGTCTTTCGTATTCCATCTTTGTCCAAATGTGTTTCAATCTACTGCCCAACAGAAGTTTGCAAGTGCATGTGCATGCATGCAGCCCAATACACACAACAGTGGAATAAGATAGAGTCATACAATTTCATTTTAGCAATAGGTCCAGTTGCCTTTTCACAGCTATACCATTCAGATTAAACTTTGACTCTTTTAATCAATGGGTGAATGGAAGGAACCACCATTCCCAGATGTCCCCAGTCCTTGCTGGAAGTCTTGATCTCTCGCTCCATGTCCTCGTCCAAGTCCGAGTCGCCCTCCTCCACGTCAACGTGGTACTTGTTGATCTTCCGGTTGTACTTGTCCTTCCTGACCCCGTGTATTCAGAGTAAAGGCTATTAAAGGGTCATGAATAATGAGCATGGGAAACTCCTTGGAATTCAGGTTATATATGTACATGTCAGGCATACCTTATTTGGTCAACCGCCTGGTTTTCACAGCACTTCTCATGCTTTGTGTATTTGAGATTAGGGATGTCAGAGTTTGCATTCTATGCCAAGACTCCGGACCAGAGACTCATTCCCTTTTTTTTCGCAGAACTTCACCACGTCTTTGATGTATTGCCTCAGTGATGAAAATAAATTCCATTTCAGTTTAAGCATGCAGGGCTAGCCTTATAGGAGTATAGGAGGGCAAAATCAACCAGCAGGTTTAACTTGTGACAGCCACATTCCCTTCAATAGCTTCAACTCAGCAATTTCAAAGACCATTGAAGTCAACTTTGATTCAAAAGTGGAAGCATGATCCTTTCTAGTGATCATTATATTGCAATCTTTTTAAAGAAACCAGGGTACTTTGACCAACCCAGCGTTGTCCTCATCATCTCCTCCGTGAGCCAACGTCTCTTCTTCGTTCGGGTGCTCTTGTTCAGCCTTTCACTTTGCCGCACCAGACGTGTCAGGAATGCATCCTGCCAAATTTCAGCGAGCAGCTAGATTGGAGAAAGAAGCGTGGGCCCTAGACATCTTCAGGGTTCTTCAGGTATGCATATTCTTCAAAAGTATTCAAACGTATGATCAGTTTCTAGGGGATATCAGAGTCATTACAATACATTAATTATTGTCCATACCATTCAAGAACTGATCTTGGAAATCAAATGCAAGACAGAAGAATCCAATACTGTTATCAAAATAACAAGTACACCTTTAGAGCATTGCATGGAAGATTGAACCAGTCCTTGTTCCATCCACTGTTTTCCAATTCATCTCGTAGCTTCATCCTCTCAACACCCCCTTTTGCCCATCTTTCATGTACATCATTCGGCACATGGCACCTTCCTGACGGCTTTTTTTCACACAAGCGCCTCAACCGGTTGTTTTTGGCAGCTTCAGTGGGTTCCTTGTCTGACCCCTCGCAACCCTTGTCACCATCTTCCGACTCCCCCGAGGCATCAGCATCGGAAGAACCTTCCGAGGCTGTCACTGGGGAGGGAGCACGCCTTTTGGGATTTGAGGGTGTCTTCATTGGTGTCTTCACTGAAGCCCGGGATGAATCAGATCCCTTGGTGGCAGCATCCAACTTCTTCTGCATAGCTGCGAGCTGGGACATGAGATCTTTGTTGACCTGCAAGCACATACCATATTCTTAAAATATAAATGGTCATGGCCCAGTGTTTGGCTAACAGATATCTTGCTCCTTACTGTATCATGTGGTTTGCATGAGGCTTTAAAAACACAAATGGTTGAATCAACTGTACTGTCATCAAAACAGGTAATATCAGGTAATGCCAATGATAATTGGGACTAGGCTTTAATGCCTAGTAGGAGTAGGACTGGTACAAATCCCACGAAGTTGCTTTGGGCCCCAATGATTCAACCCACTCCATCATACAATGACCGGTGTTTAATGAATTTTCCCTAGGCATGTACATGTGGCCATGGTAAACCTATATGCCGGGTTAATTGTAAACCGTTTTGAATCCTAGCAGGGAATGTTTCCCAACCATGAACTTTAGAACTACACAGGGTCCAAAACCGAAGTTTTAAATTGAAGGCAGCCCTCTATGGCAAAAGAAACCGGGTTGAGTTCCCAAGACATACCTTTTCCACCGGAACCCACTCCCAAAAGCAGTGTTTGAAGGGGACAGGCACCAGAATTGTTGTTGGGTTCCTGCATAATGTTTTTTTTAATGTACTAAGCATCAAATTATCAACCCTACAATTACACAGTAGTGTTCAGAATATCTGTATTTCCCCGACAAAAGGAGTTGTTTTACCACAAGATAGTTGCTATTTAGGCCACAACCCAACCATAGAGCTCCACCACCAACAGCCTTGGCAAGATCATCTGCAGGTGTCGATGCATCCAAAGGAGAAGACTTGGAACGGTGGCGCTTGGAAGGCTGGGAAGGACCGGCCGGGGCCGATGACGGTGCTGGAACAGTCTTCTTAGCAACAGGGGCCACATGGGTTTGACTCTTGCTCTTAGATGCAACATCACGGTCCTTTGAACGTGCATCATTCTTCGGGGGATTGGTCTTCTTGAGATTCTTTGGGTCCATCGCAGATTTCTTTCTGGCAGCTGCCAACTCCGCTTCAGTTGCCTTATTGGCTAATGGTTTGAGAAATCACTCAGGAAGGGGCAAAACAAAAATGCAAGTTTCTAACACCACTCGATTTGATTAAAATATTTATCACACATGTTGTTCACTGGCCACATACCTTTGTGGAACATTTACCCCACAACATCTTCGGAGTACTAGCTGATGCCAATCTTTGTTCATACCAAGCTGCTGGTTGGGTTTCTTCATCAACTTCACCCTGGTGACACATGTGGCTGACAGGTTTCATATAATTGGGGCACATCCCAAGAAAACAACGGTTGCATATCAAATTTACACCTGGCCTCAGCATCCCCATCTTCAGCATTCTGTTGCTTCAGTGAGGCAATTGCCTTTTCATATTCCTACCATGGAACATAGGGAAATCAAATCGGGATTGGATACCAACCATTGGAAATAATAACATATTGTAACCAGAAACTGACACAAGACGGAACAAAGTGTCCTCGACTTTCTTCTGAAGTTCTTCTGGGTCCATGTGCTCTCTTTTGACTTTCATGAGACCACGGTGACCATTCTGAAGCTCAGAACAACTATGTCTCTTTGATGGTAGCTTGCGAGGGGGAGCAGACTTCTCCCTAGACCCCATGGCAGGCCGATGCAACAGCCTTCAACAGCTCACCCAAGGCTGTTCTGCGATTGGATCTCAAAGGGCTGTGGAACAAATCCCACTACAAGATGGTAAAAGAAATGTTCTTATGAAGAAATATGTTGTAACCACCAAACACCAACTTATTTGAAAATGGTTATGCTCAATTTCTACCAAAACATCACAATGTTTGGCAAAAATGTCAATGTTGGGGTATATACAATGTACGGGAAATGTACGTAAAAAGTACGGGTTTTCATACGGAAAAATCCGTCCTTTTAGCGCATATTTCCGGCTTTTGTACGGTGTACGGGTTTGTACGGGGTACTGTACGTATTTAGTACGTACAGAGTACGTAATCTGTCAATATCATAATTTCAGTATGGTTTTGTAATTGTTGAATGAGACATGTGTTAGGATAACTACTGACAAACCCTTGAAATACCCAATCAAAGTAAAACCATCCTACTTTCCCAGGTCCCAGGTCTACCCAGACAGAAACATTTCCTTTTCTGCAACAATTGGTCCCTGACCCTGGCTGTTTGCCAGTCATCATGCCAGGAGGCATTTGAATTATCATGAATTGTAATATGGGTCTTTGAAATCTAAGGAAGGAATGTGGCCAATGCCACATGTTTGTTGCTAGAAATTGCGTCACCTCCATATGATATGGTCACATATGGTCACAACGCTTCAGGGAAGGAATCTCGCCATTCCCCAATGTTGAGGTCACGATTTCCCCGAACATAAGCTAGGCAGGATACCATGTCAGCATCCTCCCAAACATCATCACCCCATGGCAGGCCATCAAAGAAATCCTTTGTTTCCATTTCGGCAAAAGAGGCAGGGATCTCTGGGGCCGGGGACTTGTTCTCCACAAGAAAGGGAAAAAGCTTCACCAAGCGAAGGCCAAAGTGTGGTGGATACGTCCTGGGCTCTCAACGATGGAAATTGAAATTAAGGGATGGAAATGGGGAAATCCATGTATGTTTATACAGTTGGCACTGGTGCATGCAGGCATGAAAAAATACTGGTTGGTAATTTGACCCATCATTCAACAACATATTTATTCGAAACAGTGTGGGGACCACCTGTTGCCTATCCTTTTTCATGCTTGCATTCAACATAGCTATGCCAAAACATATTGCATATCGTTGCATTCCTTTCCAAATAATGCTATGAAAACGAGAAAGAACCAAGAACCTGCCGCATAGTGATTGAAAACTAACAATTCAGCCCCCTACCCAGTAGCACGAAGGCTTGAGGTGCCCGAGTAAGATTTCTTGCCCTTCTTGTTGGTCTTCACTTTTGCACTCTTCACCCCAGTGCGACGGATTTCCTTTCGTTGATCCTTCGTTAGGGAGCCTCTATCCAAACCACCGATCTTCTTGGAATTTGACCAGCAGATATGTCGTTTAGGTGTGCATGACTTGTAATGACCCATCCACCATCGGCAGACATACACCTGCAAAGGTTTTTTGTCCCCACAAGATTCAGTTCCCAAAAGTTATGTAAGCCATCCAGTAAATTAAATATACTTTATCCGTTTTGGGGGGCTTGGATAGACAAACAATGTCTTTTGTTGACTCACCAGATCCCAGTGGGTTCAGCCCCAGACCACTAACACAAACAACAGACCTGCAATGGGTACTAGTAAATAATAGGGTTTGCTTTCCCCCAATAAAGTTGAACAGGTAATTCATGGTAATTTCATGATTATAGTTAATTCTGTTTGCACCCAGACCTTTGTGAAAGTCCGTAAGATGCGTCGTAGTCTGGGATGGTACCAAGCAAGGCTGCTGATGGGTTGCTCTACCATCCACGCAGCTCCCACCGCCTGCAAGGCCATCAAAAGGAGAGCCACCCTGAGCGAGCAGAAGCAGGCCGAAGGGAACCAGTTTTTTATGGGCCCTATACCCCCAACAATCTTGGTGGGAACAAACAGTTACGACAAATTTGGGTAAAACCCCAACTATTTACCACCCACTAAAACAGGTTAGCAGAATTACTGTATATCAAATATTATTTTCTGGTGAAACAATACAGGAAAACCTATGAACTGGGAAATCATAACGCCAAGCAAGAGTCCTGCTAGCAAGACAATTTCCCAGCCGAACATGACTGCGGGATTCATCTCCCAGTGGATTGATCAATGATCTCAGATGCGTACCAGCATTGATGGCAACGAAGCTGGAACATAATAGCCCAATGACGCAGAAGCTGTTGTCAAACTTCATGTTCAGAATGGCAGTGAGTGCCAAACTTAGATGTACAATTTGGAACAAGAGGGGTGCTTGGGCAAACAATGTTGTTGAGGCCATACCAGTGCTCCATTGGTTGGAACCGTAACATCAATGGATTGTTTTTGAAAAATTCCAGAAAACCATACCCACCAACATTGAAGCATAAACCAATGTTATGAACCAAACATCATTCCTTTCAAATGGGTCTTTTGGGGACAGAAAGGCAAGGATAACCAAGGAACCTTTTTCCCACCAACCCCGATTAGGCATTAAAAATCATATTTGCTAATTTCTTGGGGGCCATTCACCAGCACAAAACTGATTAACCGGTACTTAAATCTAAGGGGTTTCAATCCCTTGGTTGGTAAAATGGACCGACCAGGGCTGCCACATGTAGATCTTCAACTTCTGTTCATATCAGCACAAAGCACGCCAAACTAACCATAGCTAATCCCCATTGTTTAGGAACTACCCCAATCAAAAGAGACTATGAATCCAGGTGGCCAAAAGCCACTGTCCGTTGTCAAGTCCATAAAATTCTGCTTGTTTGGCATTGGGTCATGCAGTAATATATCCAACTTTGCCACCGAACGCCCTGAAAATGCCATAGTATCAGTGACCCAGCCACGTCCGGCAAACAGCTCCACGTAGTCAAAGGCCTGGCAAAGGCATACAAATGCACCCAGTTAGTATCTTCAAAACCATTAATTCCAGCGATGCATAACCCAAAGCTTCTAGATGCCATCACCCCAAGGCCTCTAGAGATTATATTTGTGGGTTTTACCAATTTCTTCAGGGCACTGATTCCTGGACCTACATGATGCAAAGAATTTCCCATATTATGATCCAAAATGACTCCATGTTGTTCATATCCATAACATAAAGTTGAAATGCAGTGGGTTGACTATCCTTGGGGTAATAGGTATTTGGTTCAAGCTTCCACTAATATACTTTTTTGATTTGCTTATTCTGACCCAGTGCGTAAGATGAAATATCTGGAACCTGTGGGGTAAGATTGAACCATTTGGTGACCTAAGCAAAGGCCCGCCCTTATACAACAATCAACTGCTCTTAAAGTCTTAAAGCTGGTTATCTTTATTGTCTAACCTAGCACAACCACAACTGTAAAAGCCTGAACAGCTGGTTTTTTATGCTAAGCCAGGGCCAGCTCTCCCACCACTAAGATGTTGCTACTTGGAGTGCGATCCTAGGTATTCCTTTTGTTATTCTTTATCCAGCTTCCAAATCCAGCCTCCTGAAAGACCTCCACATTGCTAGATAGGGAGAGGAGCACCGTCAATCCCAGCAGCACCTCCAAGTGGGGCTTAAATAGGGCTACTGGTTTCATGGGGGTGTCTTGACAAGCTGACCATGGCCCTGTACCAAAAGGCTGCTGAATGATATGGCATGGGATTTCCTTTCATGGATTGTAAGAACAGCAACAATTAATTGTATGTTCTTAATCTATATGGCACCCATGCTCATCCAAAAATGGCCCAACTAGATGGACCTTAGGAGCACCCAGACAGTGCATACTCTTCAGCACCCGATCCAGCTTGCAGGAGGCCATGTCACCGAGATGCACTTCGGCACAATGAACCACGTGGGGCCGCCAAAAGCTTGAGCAGGATGGTTGCCCATGATCATACATCAATATTTGAAATGTGGTTAATATATTATAATATATTATATATACCCATGGGTTTGACACAGAATGGTATCCCGCAATTGTCTTTGAAAAAAATCCATAGTGGGAAATAGCCCAAATGCCCAAATGCATATATATATTATACATGTATGCTGTATGCAATGAAGTGCATCCCCTCCCATGACTCATTTTGAATAGGTTTCAATAGAAGGGAAATGCTATATAGTTATAAACATCACTGGCTATTTAATTTTGCATCACTTTGGGTACCACATTTCGAGCAGCACCCAAGTAGCAAACATGCCCGTTTCACGTTTCGCTGAATGGTTTCCAAACTCCGAAAGGCACAGGCGGCGCTTCCACCCCAGCCCATGGACCATGCCTTTTCACACCCGAGGTCATTGACCTGAGCAATCAAAGCGGTTCGATGAGCAGGCCAGACCCACAATTGGGAAACAATTTGGGGCAATTTATTTACCACAGAATAACCATAAGATCAACCATTTGGATTCTGATGATAATTCAATAACATAAAAAAGTCAAACAGGTTTAGTTCCATCTAATTTGAATTTGGGATCATATGCACCCCCCCGTTGGGTTTGTGCTTGCATTGGAAGAAGCCACCATTTCATGAAGTTCCCCATTCAATGTTTTTTTGATCAAAATTGAGAACCAAGGGGGATTTGGTGTTGGGAAATCCCACAAACTCTACATTTTCCAGCGCTCACCTCCAGGCATTGTGATGACACCGTAGCTAGCAAGGACCCCATACCACACTGCTGTTCCATCACCATGCACACATCCCAAAGTCCCCCAAAATGGGATAAACGTGAATGAGATAGATGTATATATGTGGTATCAAAACCAAAGACACATAAATGTCATGAACTCAGAAACCTTCCAATTTGTTTTTGGGTACAGGCACGGGTCAGAATATACCCCTCAGCAGTGTGGTCAAAGGTCGGGAAATGATAGGTAAGCTAGCCAGCACTAAGTCAAACCAAGCCTGCATGATCACTCTAGGTGGCAGGATATTAGATAAATTTGCAGATGATCCTACTTGGGCAGTGGCCAGCCTTGAAATGTGTTCTAAAGCCATTGCCACAAAATGAAACCAGCGAAGTTTGTCCCAACCGGTCAAAAATGGCATCAGCACCAAGGGGCCCAGTCCATACATGCGGAAGAAAAAATCATTGAAGTATATTAAAGTCTAGGTCCTCAGAGACGAAAAAAACCATGTTGATATGGAAATAAATTTGGAAATAACAGTTTGGTAACCAGGGCCCCTCCATGGTTGCACCACATTGCACCTTGGCTGCTGCCAACTAGTGATCCATATCCCTAGGTCCTAGGCCATCGGTTCATTTCAGAACCCCAGTCTTGCGAAGCTGCTCTACATAACCATCAGCAGCAGCAGATGCTTCCTCAAAGACGTTGGACTCATTGATGTCCTTGCTGGCCCACTCCATGGTAGCGAATGTCCAGAAGTAGTCCTGGGCGAATATGGGATACATCTTATAATATCATTTAATATATCACGATTTCCTTCAGGCATTCAGTTTTTTCCCTCAGAACTCAGAAGTTCATTAAAGAAACAATCAATCACTCTGGCATCATAGCAAATCATTCAAGTGGTTGCCAACCAAATCAACCAGTAATAAGTTTGGGTAGTAGTGGTCAGGGACGTAGTTTATCACCGCATCGCATCATATCATTATCATCATTTCATGTCAAAAAATCATATCATATCATTATCATCATATCATTATCATCATATCATATCATTATCATAATTTCATCATATGAGCGTGGTTTGATAGTGGAATAAAAGCACATCAGCAGATGTGGGACCAGGAAATATATGAGCCTCAAAACCCAGTGCACAGTCCTCATGGGCGCTGTATGTGGTCAAGTGCGGCTTGATCCGAAGCTGGAAAGCATGGCGAAGGGCATCCCATCGGAGGGGGTCTCGGGTTGGTCTCCTGCGCTTGGCAAAGCACTTCAACTTCACCTCGTTCTTCTCAATCTTTCCGTTGTCCTTTTCCTTGTTATCTTCCTCCACCTCTTTCTTGGCCTTGTCCTTATCCTTCTTCTCGACCAGCTTTGCCTTCTTCTTGCCAGAAGCACTTGCCTTTGCCTTTGCCTTGGGAACCTTGGGGCTCTCAGTGCAACCACTGGGTTCACAGGCTTCCTCTCCAACAGGTTCAACTTCGCCCTTCCTCTTGTTGGCTCTCCTCTTTGGCAAAGCCACCCTGAGTTCATCTCCATCTTCGTGCCCATGGCCTTGATCATTGGCCTGCTCAGTCTCATCTTCCATGGGAGAAGCTTCTGCCATGGCCCCTGCCTTTGCCAAAGCTTTTGCCTTGGCCTTAGCCTTGGCAGATGCTTTGGCCTTGGCTTTGGCCTTGGCCTTGGGAGAAGCTTTTGCCTTCCCCTTGGCCTTCGCCTTGGCTGTAGCCTTCGGCCTGCCCCGTCGAACTTCAGCAGGCTTCTGCCCATCATCACATTCGTCTCCATCGGCCGTAGCCCTCTTCAGCCCCAACTGCATGCGACGGATGACCTTTGGAGAGAATCTAAGGGACAATGAGGAAAAGTATTGGGGGAAAGTGCATGTGAAAAGGCATAGGCAATTGAAGGCATACTGCTTGGGAATGTTAAGGGCAAATGTGCATACTATTCATGCGTTTCCCCACCCTTCCTCCTTTTTACTTACCATCTCTTCCACCGTCTTAATTGGAAAGCAAAGCCACAGGTGGCTCACCATGCTCTAAGTTCGGCTCCTCTGGAATCTCAGCAGCCAAGCGGTCGGCCATCTCCTGCATGTCACTCTCAGGCATGACAAGGGTGTCCATGTTGTCATCACCCGGTGGGAGGCTTTCTTCAACCAGGATGGGCTTGGAAGTACTGAGAGATTGCAATGCGTTCCTCAGATTTGAAAGAAAACCCAAATTTCGTAGAACATAAACTTAGTGTAGGAATGTTTGGGTGTATGAGCTTTCAAAACAATTTCAATCAATCTGAACATATTAAAGAGCATTCTCATCTTATTTGAATCAGCTAGGGTCTTCGCAGATTGAAGGCGCTTCAGGTGAGACAGCTCCCGTTCTAGTTCTGCTAAATTTTGTGCATTCTTGGCTCGACTCTTCAAACTAGAGGAACTAGCAGAAATCTTGAGGTTTGCTGTGCTATGAGCCTTTCGGTAGCTGCCCCCCCCACCATTGTCCACGACCTTGGAACTGCATGAGCTGCGAAGATCTTTGCTCTTCACCGGGATCTCTTCCATGGGCAAAGGAAGTTTCTTGTCCTCTGCGATTTCCTTCTCCGTCTTCTCTTTCTCAACATTCTCTCCCAAACCCCCAGCGGCCACAGCAGCATCGGCAAGAAGATCAGGGACAAGAGATGAATCTTGACTGTTGAGGAACTCTCGGTACTGTGCCTTGTCCTTCTCATCCATGGCACTCTCCTCCTCCTCTGCAATCAAGAAATCGATGGATGCCTGGGAAGCTTCCACAATGCATCCTTCTTCTTCCGATGCATCTTGAATTGGGTCACAAGGGTCTTCAGAGGAAAGCTGGCTGAGAGTGGGCGGCGGTGATCCAGTGACAGCTTCATTGGTAGCTGGCACTGGCTCTGAGTCAGACATCTCATAAGGTGGTGTAGCACCATCATACGATCCATCATCATCATCATCTCCATCGTCACCTTCTTCTCCATCAGAGACATGAACTACCCCTGTAGCACCATCACCATCACCCAACATAGATACGCCACCAGAGTCAGCGGGACTCGAAGGCGATGCCTCCTCTTCGGCCTGCTCATTGTCATCAGCGTCCGGGTCCTGGCGTTTGGGTTCACTGGGTTGCCAACTAAGTGGCAGAATGGTGGTAGAGTTGTGCATGCTGAGTTACATCCACGGTTTATATACTGCCAATATTCACCCCAACAAAAATAGTTAAAGGTCCCATGACAGATAACCATACAGATTTATACTGCACCAGTCCTCACCAGTAAGGCAAGCCATCAAACGGCGAAAAGTGCGGGATCGGGACAATTGCCCCCGGGTACACTTGCGTTTGATCATCACACAAAATTTCTTGGCCCGCCATGCGTCCAGCTTGACTTGGCGCTTGCAGGGTTCACATGGGCCAAGCAATCGGAATAGGGCATCAATCCTAAGAGAACTGGTGATGTGAATCGGGGGGAGATAACATCATTAAATCACTAGAAAGGTTTTGTTCACTATCGTTGGCTATTAAGTTTCTAATGCGCCATTGAAATACGAATAGCAAGACACAGGAGGATTCATGTGGAATAATGGGGAAAGATCAGAGTCATGGAGTGTTATAGAACATATAAAACCATCAGCAATAGTTTGACCCTCTTAATATCACCAATATCCACAAAGAAAATGTTTATAAACATACAATTGAATCAAATCACCTAACAAGGCACTCAAGTTCCAAGGCAGGAACTGAATACATTCCAACCTCCTTGGTCTCTGGGTGTACGAGTCTGCGAAGCAATGGCATCAGAACATCATCATGATATTCAGCACCCACAATGTTGATATCCAAGTTGCGGCCCTGAACGGAGTTCATGAACAATCCATCGGTTGCCCTAACTCGTTCCCTGATGGATGCAATCTGCTCCCACTCCTCCGAGATACCTTCAACATCTCTAAAGGTAGACATGATGGCCGGCCACCGTAGGCCCCCTACAGATATGGGCTATGAACAAAAGCACTGCAGGCATGAAAGGCAAATTTGTGGAGCCAATTGGTTGCAACAATATGATTCATCAAAATTGCAAGCGCTACTTTCATCATTTTATTGTGCTAAAAAAGTTAATCCATTGGATCTCTAGCAAAGTTTGGGATCATTCAATCATGTTGGTTTTGACCTATTATATATTTGATGGGTGTCATCTTGAAAGCAAGCCCCTTCCAAATATTTCAAGCAAAGTAATTCATTGGGGAATCACTACCAGCTCAACTCCCATAGTAAAATGTGTTCGCTATAAATGTATTAAAATAGTGCCATGTTATCCCCATGGCATGTTTCCCACCATTTTGATGCAATCATCCTGGCCATCCTCGCAGCTGGATTTTCCAAGGCCCGGACCCTGTCATTGAACTTGACGCAGAGGGGGCCGAGCAAAAAGTGTTTGCTGCAGACTTGCAGCTTTCGGTGAAGACTGGTGGTGACCCAAGGGTTAGGATAATGAGTTTTTTGGGGTTTATGTGTTAGTAGGAGTTCATCTTAACATTACATATGGTTAATATCTCCTGAGTTTTTGCCCAAGTACACATGGAAATATGATGATGACACACATGTTTGAATCATTTTGAATCCACCATGTTCCCTGAAGTGTGGGTTTATGTGGGTATTCCAGAAGTACGGGAAAGTACGGCCCTTTTATAAATATCCAGGTTTTCTGAATAATAACCAGGTTTTTTGAAAAGGCATTCAGATTTAGAGGTCATCCAGGAGCCAGGTATATATATATATATGCCTACACTCCACAGGCATCTCAAGAATTGAGATATGTGAATGTGATGTAAAGCAATGCAATGTGATTTCATATGTCTTAGTTTGAAATGTCATTTATGATGTAAGTAGTTATGGCATTGGTGGTGTAATGTATGTTGTGGAATGTAATAGAATGTAATGTAATGTAGTGTATTGTAATGTACTGTCAGTATGGGGTTCGTTCAAGACTTGGACTGGATATATCTTGAACACGAGATGTTTTCAACATTTCGGGCAGATTTTGCGTGAGGCTCTTGTTCGAAACACTACGTAAACCTTGCACTTGGAAGGGCCTCTGCGGCCACATGTAACAAGATCGCAAAACCGTACCCAGGTCAGGAGGACAAGGCAACATAAAAAGAATGGGTGTGGACAGACGTCACTCGTTAAGAGGTGGCAGCAACCCACGACAATTCAAGCACAGAGTCTGAATAGGGATACAGCTGTACAGTTGACATCCCTTGACTCGCATACACAGCAGGCGTATTTGTTTGGACGTTGACGTCATCAATCATTTTGAGACAAGAGAAAAGGAACTTGTTTGGATCTGTTTGGGGCTCAACACTAGCATTTCAAGATTCTTGACAGGATTGTTTGGACCTATGTGGCAAACTGATGTTCTTAGTAATTGTTTGCGTTCCGCTTTGTTCACAAATTCACAAAAAAAAAAAACAGGCAAATGCATGCCAAAGGGACAGAACCAAAGTGATATTGTGGGTAGCGTGTCGGTTTAATGCAATTGGATGTTATTTTTAATTTTTTGCACAGCAAATGTGACCATTCATCAGTCTTGGATGGATATTTTTTGCAAGCGCGTACGCTCCGTTTTTTCTTCAAAGCAAAGTTTCCTTAGCACTGCTGCACTTTCTTCGGAACTGTGTGAGGAGTTCCTGAACGCTTGCTACGCCTGTGCGCTTCACCAGGGGGTGTCATGGCAAGGGAAAAAGCACACGCTCACAGCGAAGTTGGGCCAATGGGCAAGTTGATGCTACAGCAAATAGTTGAATTGCCTCATGAGTAGCCTGACTATCCTAGTATAACTGCACAATCATGTTGGGATTGCAGATGATGTTTTTTTTTCTGTGATTTGCAAAATTGTTCTCATTCCATCTCGAGATATCTCGAGCGACGATGGCAATGTCTGCTGATCTTTTAAACCCTGCAGTTCGTTCAAAGAAAACGCCTGCAAGATCCTGAGCAAATCAAGTTGAGCTTCCAGTTTCAAACGAATGACCAACAGAAAAGATCGGGTTCCAGTATTGTGTGGCTTTCATCCAAATCGGTTTCTTTTGGATGGATACCTGCCTGATGCATGCATAAATCTGCAGTTGCATGCTCAAGTTGATGCTCTACTGTCGACTTGTTCGCACGAACTTGAATCAGCGAGTTCGTTCTCGCAGTGGAAAATTGCCACTGAACCTGAGTGATGACAAAACTTGCAAAATTGGTGTCATGACTCCACGTAGTACAAGCATGTACAAGCTGTCCTGCACAATCTCCAGACATTTGTTTGATCCGACGGAACCGGACCGAATACACAAATTGTCAAATATGTATATAGAATGTTTTCTGCTTCAGGATTTGAGACCTTGCACCGTCTCTGGCCATAACTTTCAAGATCTTCTTTTGATCTTCAAGATCTTTCTCGTTTTGGATTTTTGTTTTGGAATGTGGACATGTGCGGAATCAAACCTGTCAACCTGTTGTCAAGGCCTCATGCCTGGAGACTTCACCAGTGCTGTGGATGTAGAGGCCCTGTTGGAGGCTTAGAGACCTTCCTCAACGTTTCGTTTCAGGAATTGCAATGGTTGGATTTGGATGAAAGTTATCTTAGTTTGGATTCTCTTGTTGATATTCCAATCCACCAAGGTGCCGTACAAAATCAAACTTATAGTTTAGCAGTACAAATGTGAGCAGAATACTAAAGCAGCAGTAATTTTAACTGGGGGACCAGCACCAGGATGGGAACGTATGGGATCACTTGCCATACGATCTCACATGATCAAATCATGTTTCACATGAGATCTTTGGGTTTCCTTAGACTTTCCAGATGTTTCCAGGCCCTCAGTGGAGCTCAGGTGACTTTGTTCATGCTCTGACCGTCACTGTACCGTGGACTCAGTTGAGCCTGGTAGGTTAATAACGCTTAACGGTTAATAACGGTTAATAACGGTTAATAACGGTTAATAACGGTTAATGTGCAAGCCCTGGTTTTTTGCACCAAACCCGGTGTGTTTTGGCCCTGGTTACGAAAGGGACCAATTCAAAGCGCGCTGAAAGTGTGAAAGGGGATCTACGCAGGTTAGCGTTTGCATAATTTCACCACCCTTTTACAATGCAATATAATATAGTAGATATATAGTGCAAACGCTAAATGCAATACATAGTTTCTATATGTTTCTATATTTGGATTCATTTGCAAATACAGAATTGATAGCAGGTACTCGCTGGTACTACCATGTACTGCCTTCCATGTCCGCTGTTGGATGCCAGGTGGAGCTTGGCCAAATCTGTGCAACGAGTCCAAGGACCTGGGTACCTGCGTGATACCTGGGTGGTATGTTCAGTACATCTTCATGTTTCTTGTATTTTCTTGCGAATGCTTTTGCTGTTACTTGCAGTCTAAACTGATAGATCTAAAGCTTTCAGTCTCTGGGACGAGGTTTGATGAAGGGGACAATGGAGAGAGTGCTACGACCAGCAGCAAACCCAGCGATTTGCCAGTTGCAAATCATGTAGTTGAGAAAGAGTTGGAGTAACATCGCTGAAACACATTGAAACACCTGTGGCTGCTATGTTCTTCATGGAACCATCCTGGATTGCTGGGCAACAGATCTGATCAGAGATTGTGACAGATCTGGCTGCGTGTTTGGGTTCAAGTTGCTGCAAAGTTGCAAGGCCGCGAAGAACCTCTGCATCGAACGATTTGAAAAGGCCCAACAGACCGGAAGTGCAATCCTGGCAGACGGTCACATCTTTGCTTTCGGGGAATTTTGATTTATTGAGAGCTTTCTAAGTGACTTTCTAGAAAGGTGGATTTAGGTGAACTGAATCTTAAAAGGAGCCGTGCGTGCACTTGCTCACACCAGCATCCAACCTTGCCTCTTGAACTGATATGCAGATTGCACCAGATTGCACTGCGGGAATGCCTGCGGTCACATATGTTACATGTTCGGATACTTTTAGAAACAGATGTATCGGACTCAGCATTTGGCCGATTAGCACCGGAGGTTTGGCATGTTTGAGTTTTGCTAGGTGCTGCTAGGTGTGGAGTACAAGGGCGTATGCTACCCAGCCCAGCAAGATTCAGAGAAGCCCCGTTCAACAAGACTTTAAACAAATGTTAATAACGCGAACCCCGTACTGATGTGATAATGAATTTTCTGGGAGGCGAGGCTGGCTTACGATCAAATCGAGTGAATTTCTTGGAGGTTTTCTATTGTACAATGGCCAAGTCAGAGAAAAAAGATCAACCTGCATTCAACTGGTGTAGCAGAAACTCGCGTTTAAACAAATGGATTCAAATCTGAAGCCATCAGCCAATGAAGATCAATGAAGCTTTTACATATTTGGGACGTTGTGATGCGACATCAGGACGGATCTGGGTCGATGCCCAAGAGCACTTTTCAAGAGCAACGCTGTGCAAAGCTGTGATTCCTTGGTCTTGAGTCATTTGAATCATTTGAGTCATTTGGGCCTTGACTTGAGTTTATTCAATTTATTTCTTATGTTCCTTGGACTTGCAGAGCCACCATGACCCAGCCTGATTACCTCTTGCGTCCTCTTGTGCCTTGAAGGTTTTTGGTTCAAGGAGGTTCTGCCCCCTTCAAGTGGCAATGTTCGGTATAATTGTTGCCAAGACTCATCCAGGAAACGCCACCTGTGTGGCATGTCTGGATGAGAAGACGTTGAAACTGACTAGACCGACCCCAATTCAGGGCAGCAGTCCGTTTTGGACGGATACTCAAGTGGCTTCCTTCCAAGTCGGATGCCGAGTTCACTTCCAACCCACCGGCCACTCGTTCGAAGGGAAATCTGTAGGGATCGAATCATTCATCTTCTGGGAGAGGCTATCCGAGGCTGTCCGAGGCTATCCCACTTTCAGCCAGGAGTCAGGAGATACTTAGTCATACTGAGTCATACTTGCACAGATGTTTCTCAAATGTTTTTCGAGTTTGAGGTTCGAAAGCGACGACTCGACTGCCTCACAGCAATGAAGACTTGCCATGTGAGTTTCTGAAACAAGGCCTGGGATTCTTGGCACTTTGAGTTTGTTTATGTTTGTTTGCCTGTATGCCCCACGGAATCCTCGTACCACTCAAGGGTGGATCCGTTCGGTGTTGGATTCCTCCCTGAGCATCTCATGAAGCAATGAATTCAAATTGTAGAAGTTGTAGAAGTCATTGTGAGCCATTTGGAGTACTGTGGTTATCTGTGGTTACTATATGTTGCTATCGCCAGCTGCTATTCTCCGTATTCTCCTTGTTGAGCTGAAGCGATCCGAGCCCTGAGGGCAAGGTGCCGCATCCCCTACCGAAGTATTTTCGATGCTGAACCGCATTGCTGAACACAGCATCCTCAATACGTGGCCCAACAATGCCTCTTGACTGCACAAAACGTTTGCGCAAACAAGACAAGATGAGCGGATGGAGGATCCTCATCAATCTTCTCATCACCCGGCTTCACCTGTTGCCAAAGCAACCAAATCGCATCCTAGGTTTGGTCATCGCATCGGCATTTGCATCCAGATGTCGATGTGCCGTCCTTCGTGGTCGTTCGTGGGTCATTGCCTCGGCATTAAGCGGCTTCAGCTAAGTTGGCACGTCATATGCGTCATATGCCATGTTATGACATGTTGTAACATGTCGTTATGACCTTTTATGACATTTTATGACCATGACTATGACCCTTGGATATCTTTGATTTGATGAGGAGCATTGAATCCTTGTGGGAAGACAATGGGGTGTCTTCAACTGGGCACCTTGTCGTATAAACTGCAGTGGACTTTGACGTGCTTCAGGTGTTCACATTATTGTTCATAAATGCATGATTGATTTCATCTTGATTAAGGCAACCTTTCAAGTCTCTCCGTGCCAATCTGGAGCTTGGAAGTGCAGGACTCGTGCGCGACATCTCAGTAGTCTGGCTTGGATTGGAAGACCGGCCTTGGCACGACAGTGATTCAATGTGATTCAGCCATGATTCAACAACCATTCAACCATGAGCATCCTGATGACCTGGTGCTTGAATTGCATTCCTGTAACGCCTGTGAGGTAACGTGCGCAGCGTTGAGAGAAGCGGCTGCACAGAAACAAACCAAGAACAAATTTGGTCGTATGGTTGCAGTGAGGGTGGACACCTGATGACACATGATGACGCATGCATGTTTTGTTGCTTTGCTGGTGTCCTTCCACTTGATTTAGGCATGTTTACACCAGAAATGTAGCAAAGACACCACGACATTCACCTTCATTTTCTGGAGCTTGCGTGGAAGCATTGCATGAATGGCAAGTTCTTTCCCTAGGCCTTCTCATCCTGGGTGTGGCGCGTCCCAAAGACTTCCACAGAGCCGTGAGGTGTTGGTTTTTTCGGGATCTTTTCTCGACATGAGATGACAACAAAATCAACAAACCATGACTGAGAAAGACAGACTCCACAGCCAGGTCAGATAAAGAACAATGTGCAGTGCTGCTCATCGGTTGGTTGCCTGCACCACAGAGCACTGAGACGTGGTGCATACCTCGAGCTTTATGCACCAGCATCTTGCTTGCAAGGTTGACAAGCCGGCAAGCTTCTTTGACTTGTCAAGGTTGATGCAGTGTTCGTTTTTAGTTTAGGATTAACTCCTACCAAGCGGGTTGACACCCTTTGCATGATTGTACATGGATTTTGCACGTGCTAATGGAACACATGCTTCAAGAAAAGGTCTCACAAATCTTTGCGCAATCTCAAGTGGCGCTTGAGGTATTTTCCTCCTCAGTGATCATGCGGGCCAAGCGACAGGGGGTGAGGGTGCTCAATTTGACAAGGTCAGCTGGGACAGAACCGCATCTTTCACACAAGTCATCTATGTATACAACCTTGAACTCGTACCATTAGTTGACTTTGTTTTATGGCTATTTGCCAGGAACTCCTGGGCTTTTTGCAGCTCGACAAGCAGTCTTTGGGTTGGGAAGTTGAGGAGGAGGACAAGAAGGCCAAAATCTGAGTCCCCAGGGTCTCTCGTGTGTACTCTGGAAGAGATCCCGACCATGAACATGCCCCGTTCACCTGGCTCACGGTTTGAAGACTTGTTGAGTTTTTGACGCGATCAAGATATTGAAGTGTTCTCTATTCATCTTTTCAAAAGGGATCTCTGTCTTTTGTTTTTCTTGTGTCCAAGAAATATTCATTGCATGCATACTGAGCCTGCAGAACGAGGCGCTCCTTTGCCTTCACAACATTTTGGAAGGCGTGATTCCAAGAAGTCAGAAATGCATAGAACTGCAGTCTGCCTCGAAGAACGATATTTTCTGACTTACTCCTTGCAGCTTAATTCCAAGTGAGGCTTTCTAATATTACCAGAGAAATCCAGAGAAATTCAATCAGAACCGTTCAAGCGTGACGTCTTCCTTTGCAGGTCCAGCAGGTAGATGCTTTTTCAAGCAATTGCCTTGAGCAAAATCGAATTGGGTTATTCTCGTGAAATTCCTTCCAACTTTTTCAGTGAGGAGGAGACATGTCATCAAAGCTGTAATGCTTTCTCAATTCCTTATCCTGCAAAGTCTTAAACGGAATACAATGTTACAACTACTTAAGTCCGTGCATGCATGATAATGTGGTCTTCAAGGGGCTCGTGCGAATTCTTCCAAGCACAGCACGCTAGATGCCACAAACACACTTGGAACCTCCAGGTGTTGCTCCGTTCAAAGAGGGGATGTGAAAATGATAGAGGGCTTCACAAAGCCGAACCTGCATATACTTCAAGTATGTTCTTCTGGCTCCCGGGACTTTCCTAAAACAGGCTTTAAACATTGCTGGGGTATTAAAACCCTTACACGAAATCAACAAATTTGATGCACCGAGGTCGTGAGGATGGAGTCGAAATCAGGAGAGACGCCGCCAGGGGCTGTTTCGTGGTGATCACTCCTGCGGGATCCAGCTTCCTTCCAGGTCACTGGACAGTCCCATGCTTAAAATTGGCCTTGTTTGATCTTGTTTGAGCAATTCCATGCAATTCCATGCAATTCCCAAAACACAAAAGGCCGCATCAGCTACCTGAGTTCTCCGTGCTTTCCAGCATGTTCGTTTTAGGGAAGGGAAAGGTGCAGGGATTCTTTATGGGCGGCGTGCGCCCCGTAAAATGTTGGAGTTTCAGCCCTCTTCGTCCACGCGTTCTGCTTTCATTTCAGAAGATTTGTTCTCATCAGACTCATCAGGCAACATTTCTGGGCTTCCCTGGCCCTTAGCTTCCATTTTGGGGGCGTTGCGTTGCGTCACAGCTTTCTTCCTCAGCATCACCATCACTACCATCCTTCTAAGCATTGCGGCACGCTTGTAATATACGTGAGTCCACATTGACATCAACATGTTGCAGATACGTCCAAGGAAAATGTGATGGGTACGAATCAACAAACTGCGAATCATAGAGAATGTGTGCTCTGCAGTACCTTCATCACACATTTTTTGATTCTCACGGGAGCCTTACAAGTTGTTTGTTCACAAAGGTATTACAAAGGTCATCTGGAGGTGCAGGGTGCAAAATCGTGCAAAGCTGCATTAATTTGCATATGTGGCGGTGCCTTTCTTCTCAGCGGCGGCTCAGGTTTCAGTGATGGAAGTGACAAGACGAAATAGCTGGAATCGTGGCAAGGGCACAGAATCCATCCTGGCGAACGAGACTTTGAACAACCAACAGATTTGTGCCCTGATCAGCAGATGTCGATACTATGAAACATGATACGATCGATTTCAGGCAGATCTGCTCACTGCTTGCCTCTGTGCGGCCGAGGTCAGTTTTTGAATTCCGTTTCATCCTTTCAAAGCTCTGACCAGTCCAAGACGCCAGCTTCATATTTACAAGCTTTGGCAAAAGCAGCAGGGGCCAAGCTCGAAAGGACTGAACATAGGACTTAAGAATGACACGAAGAACAGAACAGCATAGAATAACGACACACAGCAGGAGTATTTGTTGATTTTGTTGGAATGGCGTTTCATCGTGAGTTTCGATGGAGCGTTTGAAACAGCAATGAAGGACTGGGCAGTTATCTGCGCTGGCTTCGCCTGTGAAGGCTGCAGATTGGGGTGTGTTTCCGCACCAAGACACCGCCCACGACGCAGGTACAGACTGCAGGTCTGGGTCTTAAGTTGAAATTTATATCTCTTCAGCATAGGGAACTCCTCAACTCAATGTAAACTTGGGCAAGTCATTGAAACTCCAACGTTGTTTTTCCATGGTTTTGCCCATGCGGTGCATCAATGAACTGGCCATCAGACGCGTTCCAACACCCTTGGCGTCAGCAAGATCTATTGGGTCCAATGGCTGGTCACGCTCTGTGCACTGGTCCTGCTTGAAGGCCCAATTTTTGTTGAGAGTGAAGGCCTCACCAGTTGCTAAATTTATGTGAGACAGATGAGAAACACTCCTCGGATTTTGTCCTCGTTTCCTGATTTTACTCTTGGCTTCAAACCGTAGAGGCGGCAGGGTTTTGAACTCCTCCAGGCTGTTGCTCACTTCGTGCTGGCCCACATGACGTCCCATCCCAATCCGCTAGAACTTTACAAAAAGCTGCAAGCGGCATTTCTGTTGCACCTTGTGGAGAAACAAGTCCACCTGTTGTCTCCTGAGACTGCATCTCCGGAACGCCTTCGTGTGGCCATGGAGATGTTGCGGAAGACTACAAGCAAAGTGGGGAAACTTCACCGAGATTTTCCGCCATCGATTTCAACAGCAGATTTGACCACACGGTGCACGAAGATACGGCAAACCTTGGATGCCCTCTTTCGTGCCCGTGGGGAGCAGAAGGCCTTGCAGTACAAGTTCAACAGCTTGGCTCATGTGTTTGCGACGAATGTATTTTTCACAGTTGACGTGGACGACCTTGGTGCCAGCCTATTGATGCCTGCTAGTACAGATGCCAGAGCCCGGGCCACCAAGAACTTGGAAGGATTTCAGCTTTTTGGACGTGACCGATGCTTGGCACAAATGTGCAAAGAGATTCGTTTTGAAGTTTCCAACATCGATTCAACACTTAGCCCGCTTTCAGGGAGTCCGGTGTTCACATCGGAAAATCAGGTCCATGCTTTGAGAGCGTCTTCCAGTGGTTGCAGGAGCTGCAGTGGCAGCAAGACACCATGAAGATGCAAGTGGCTTTGGCAAAATCCTCAAGTGAAATGAGTTGAATGTCTTGCTTGTTTGCAGACTTGCTTGTGTTTGCGCTAGAATCAGCGTCGTGAATCCTTTTGCTGTGTTCGTTTCAACATCTTGGCCCGTCGTGCATCCAGGTTGGATTAGTCTTGGTGGAGAAAGTCTTCTTGGAGCACGCGCAGCAGCTGGAAGAAGATTGGTCAGAATACAACCTGTTCAAAATGGAAGGCGGGGCAGGTTTGGAATTCCCGCATTTGGATTTTTACTTTGCATAGAAGTGAATATGTGCTTCCGAAGTGGAACAGTAGAATAATAACAGGCTGACCTCTAGGACTCTAGGCGATTTATATTAGTTATATATATTATATATATTATATTATATTATATTATATTATATATTATATATATTATATTATATATTATATATTATATATTATATATTATATATTATATATATATCCTATATATATATTTAATATAGATTTATCGTGTCAAACCGTCACTCCCATGATCTCTCTTCACCTAAAATTGCCGAGACTTGATCGACGAATACTGCCGTATCTGCGAGCACTTCCGGAGTTGTGCTCAGTGGAAAGTGGAGCTGCGCAGTCGAGAAGTCTTGGTGGTGTGGATTGGGTTTTGCCTCGCAATGCGGGTATCTTGGCACACAACAGTTTGCAGCTTGCAGTTCGGTGCAGTGACCAAGTCTTTTTCCAGAACTTTTGTTCCCTTTCTCTTCCGAAGCAGAATCGGCAAATGTCAGAAAAACATCACGAGTTGAAGCGCTTGCTCTCTCATGAATCTTGGCCCAGGCAGCAGAGCTTGAACATGGCTTGGTCCGAGACTATGGCCCGGGTCTTCGGCCTGATCATTTGCGACGCTTGCTGCTGTCGAAGGTTGAAGAGATCGATGCCTTGAAAGCAGTGGATCGATTTTTGAAAAGCCGCAGCCGTGGATCGGGCCTGTTCAACTTGTTAGATCAGGCCCGTCTGGTTCACTGATCACCAATAAAATTGATAACAGAAAAAGGATGAAAAGGACCTCATTTTAAGTTTTAAGTTATATTATAGTAAATTGTAATGCCTCACCTATACATTCAAGGCATTTGCCGGGAAATGCTTGCAAAAGCGTTCTTGCAAGTCTCCCCTTGTGAGGAACCAACGTTTCAATTCGCTTCCGAGTTTGGAGCTCAAAGTCCGCGTATCCGGGGCGTCCTTGGTGTCGAGCGGGGTGCTGAAGAAATCAGGATGACCGGGCATTGGGACCAGGTACAGAAGCAACAGGAAGAAGCGAGGAACTTGAGAAAAGTCATCGCAGGCCTTCAGCAAGAACTGAACATCAAGGCGCCTCAATTGGAGCAGGTACGCGATGTGGAAAGGTGCCTGAGATGTGGTTGGCCAGGTTTTTTTTTGATGGAGTCTGTTGCCAGTTTGTCCTTGATTTGCTTCATTTTCCCTTCAATCCTTCTGTTGTCCCTTCCAGGCAAAGGCAGTCTGCCTCAAACGATGTTCAAAGCATTCGCAAGGAGCTTAAACAGTTGCGGGTATCAAGATCCCTTTTTTTTCAGAGGGAAAGGGATCTTGAAAGCCAGCAAGCTCAACGGAACCAGGATATTTCCAGCTGTGACAACATCCTTCATGGATTGCCAAGGAGGCAGACACTGGAACAAGAGATTGCAACCCTTCAGAACAGATTACGTCAAGCGCAAGCTGACCTGAAGAGGGCAGAAGAACCACCACCAGCAGTGATCCAATCACTTCCAGAAGATAATGATTTGGCCAACAGCACCCTGTTCTTCCTCTACAAGCCTGACTTGCTGAGGTTGCTGTCACATATGACAATCAAAGCTCAGCAAATCTTGTTGCCTTGGCCATGGTACTGCGACAGCAGGCAAGAATTGCGAATTAGCATGTCGCATTCCATTGGAGAACATGTTGTGTTCGATTAATAGCAGTGCTGGGCTGCTGCTCTTTCTCCGATTTGGCAGGTGGGATGTGAGGAAGCTGATTGAAGTCCAAGACTTCAGAACCTGCTGGGCTGACCATTTCAACATGCAGAAGGAATACTACAACCCACCTGGCAAACCTGGCACCGTCAATGTCCTGGTCAAGTTGCTCAGCCGTGGACAGGCCCCAGGCTCCCGTAGCGATGTGGCTGGATCTCATATCGACAGCTTGACAGATCGAAGGCACGGTGTGCGGGCCTCAGATTGCAACCATATCACACCACATCAGAATGGCATAGAATACATCAATGATTGTACAGTTATAATATATCTGTATTTTTGTGTCCCTGCCATACCTCCAAGATAAATTGACCGGACTCAACTTAAAAGAAAAAGCATAGTCAGTCATTTGCACTTTGCTGTGGATATTCCTAGGACACCGTAAGAATTGGCGCTCGAAACCGTTGACCCAGCCGAAACCCATTCAGAAGCGCTCAACCCTTTTCAAACTCGGTGCCACTTTTTGTGCAGCTGTCCGCATTCAAACCCGTAACCATTCAAATGAGTTGAACACCTGTTCAGAATGAGTCGCCTCCCCGTTTGCGAATGCAACAAAATGTTGCCTTGAGCTTGTTTTGTTCGAAGTTGTCCTAAGAATGAATGTTAAGGCCTAAAATTTGTGCTCGTGCTAAAAAGTGGCGAACTGAACCCTAAAAAGTGATTTGATAGACTGGAAATTCCTGGCGGTTCACATGTACAACGGTGCGAAGCATCTATATATAGTTTTCTGAGCGCATCATTGTACAGCACTTGTGGCATATATTGCAGCAATAGCACTAGTTCAGCTTGGATCAGGAATCTAGACATTCGATCAGCAACTCATGCAGCAACTTGCTACTCAGTGTTGAGGTCTGGTGGCCTGACGATCTGCACCGTGAGTTCGCTTGCAAGTCAGATGGACGCTTGATCGACCGTGGCGGGTTCTTCAATCCATTTCGGCAACTACCAGACAGCGTCCTTACGGAACACTGGACAGAGCGGATGCCGCGCAATGGAATGGATTTGCAATGGACTATGAAGCTTGGTGATGAGATCCTCAACATCCGGGGTAATCAACCGCTTGCTTCTCAATCAAACAAACCCAAATGGTTGAGGACAGTGTGCGGAGATGGTTTTGAAATTTGTTGGTCTATGTTGTTTGAATAATAAGATTCGATACGTTCTCAACGTTTGGCAAGCCATTGCCATCCCATGAAGGAAGCACGAGTACTTGGCCTTGTGTGGTTTGCGAGCCTTCCCACACCAGCAGCTACGGAAACTTCTGATAGCCCTGCAAGAATCATCGCTGCCTTTGATACATGCACCTGTACACCATCTTCTACGACAGCTGCTGCATCACGTTGGTCCCACTGACCCTGACAGTGGGCTGCACTGGAAACGTGACATTGCACATTTGATGGACGAATTCAAGAAGGTCCTGCTGTCATTGGCAGACGAGGTTTCGGCCAAACCACGTGCTCACCAAGCAATGCCCGCTCTTGCAGATCTCTGCAACTACTTCATCCAATGGGCGCCATGTGATCGTTTGGCAGCTTTGTCTCTGGTTTCTGGATGTCGCCAGTTGTCTGAGATTTCTCTGTGCTGGGCAAGGGATATTTTGTCTCAAATGCAAGGCCTTGTAACGGATCGCCAGGATGCCTTGATTGCCAAGGCGCGATCACATGCCATGGTAAAACATGAGGTCGAATCACTGCAGAGCTATTTTTCTGCATGGTACTTGTATGCCTTCAAGTGGGGCGCAGCATCATTGAAGTTGGATGTGTGAAGTTATGTGAAGGTTCTGACCTTAAAACACATCTACCTATGCCTACCTCTACTAAGTGTGGGTGTGTTGTTTTTCTTCTCCGTTGCAGTAACCTTTCTTTCGAAATTAGGCACATGCTAGCCGCAGCCCACCCTTCCCGGCTGCATCTCGAAATCAGGTGAAGCTCTTTGGTCTTTATGCGGCCCTTTGCACCCCGGCATTTGCTCTGGCCATGGAGGATGGACAGCGATTGGTTAAGGGCTTGGTTTATGCTCAAAACATCTCGCCATTCCGCGAGCAACAGACAGCGGAAGAAAAAGAAACACTGGAAGGCCTGCGTCGGAGGGTTGATGCAATTGCTGTTCAGAAGCTTGAAGAAGTCCTGGAGTTCGCCAAGAGCTCAAACGAATTCATCACAGCAGCTGCTTCAGCAGCCATGGAGCACGTGCCAGAGACGCTGACATGGGTGCAATGGGACACAACTCCATGTTTTCATGCGCAAGATCAGCAAGGGCGCTTGTATAGCATCAATCTTCTGAGAGGTATTGTGCTCTTAGACGGGTCTCCACCCCGGCGCATCCCTTCGACCATTCTTCAACACGGCCTCTTCCAACGCTGCTTTGGCGATGCTGTCTTCGAGGTCAGTATGGACAGGTCTGGAACTTTCAAGACATCGAGGCCTGTGGACGGATGTTTCTATGAGTTCCAAGAGCTGTCAGGTGGCCAGTTGCGCATCTCAGAGTTGAAAGATGGAAGCTCGGGCAAGTCCAGAATTTTGTTGGCTATGTTTGCTTCAAACTATCTGACATTTGACAAAATGTCTCTATCATATTCTATCATATTCTATCATTGTCATCATTGCTCAGTGGCTTGGATGTTTTTTCTTTGCCATTTTGTCGTAACCTCAGGCCGATCACTCCATCTGGTGCCCGCAGAATGCCTGGAAAGGGAATTTCCCAAGCGCTTGGTCGAGCTCCACAGCCACTGGAGGGACGAGGAATCGAATGTCATCTTGTTTCGTCCAGTCTTCTTCCGTGAGAGATCGACTCATTTCCTGTATGTGCCTCAGCAAGACGGTACCTGTGGTGTGTGCCGCCAGATTCCCGACCACTTGAGAGCAGAAGGTCTTGATGAGTTGCTGACACATGAAGACATTGTGCACCAACTTGTTTGTGAAGAAGCTGAAGTGGTGGATATCCTTCACAAATTCGAAGACCGAGCCTTCATCCATCAATACATCAACTGCGCAGCCCACAGTCATGATGAGAACGAAATTGAACAGCTAGAGCTTCCACGTGTGAACATGGCCTTTACCTGGCAAGGTGGCAAATGGATGTCGCGAGACTATCGTGGCTATTGCTTGGCGGATAATCAGAAGATGAGAGACACTTTGATCGACTTTGATTCCTATTTGGTCTTGAAGAAGGTGGATCCAAATGCCAGGTGCTCAGTGACCGTGAATCACAAAGACCATGTCTCCACGAGGGTTCTGCGCTGATGAACAATCATGATAGCTTTGCAGTATTCACTACTGTATTCAGGATCTTGCGATTCCGGCAGTGAAGATCATCGTCAAGGATGCCGATGTAAGGGAAGGAGTACCTGTGTCACTTGTGAGCGATTCGTATTGTGGCTCTGAACAAGCTACTGCTGCTTAGCAGGATAGGTGTGGGTCTGCTTAACTATAGCATTGTATTCTTTTGCAATTTGGATTTGCTTCGCTTTCCGCACGGGGCCTCAGGTTTGCTTTGATGTGCACGAGAGATTCAAGCATCTTGTGGCAGAGACTGTGCAGTCCAGACTTCTACTGGCCAGCCTCTATGCAGGGACAGATTGTGGATTGCCTGACCCGCGCTTGGGAGCCACTTTTTTGAAACGGTCTTCATGTCATGTCTCATGCCATGCTGCGTCATGTCGATTCATGTTGTTGCGCCATGTTTTTGGCCAAGGTGACGGGCATGGAAGCAGCTGTGGATTTGGTTCGACAGTCATGGGTAAATCGGCCGTTGTCGAAGCTGGAAATGCAAAGAGTCTTGGCCATGCAGGGATGACTGGCGGCTTCCGAGCAAGTTGAAATCAAAAGAAGATGTTCGCGATTGTTCGCGAGTTGATTTCCATCCAAATGCATATGAAACCAAGAGCCACTGAGGATTGCTCGGAACCCTTCAGTTTTCTTCACGTGCTCCACTGGCCTTGGACCTTCTTTGTGAAAGCCTCAGTGACGTCAGTTGGTCACCGACGTTTTGCCAAACTGACATCTCAAGAGGCTTTGCCAATGTGGAAGTGTCAAAGTGCTTAGTAGTGAAACTAGTGGATTCGGACATTGAGGTCGGGACTTGCTTCGTGCATCCTGCCAGCTTGCACATCTACATGGCTTGCCGGCAGAATATCCCAAGGTGCAAATTTTGTTCAATCGCTCCAGGATTGCAAAATGAGTTTTAAGACTGTTCTTTTGTTGAACCTTCAGATTCAATCTTAGGGGCTTGTCAATCATAGTTGTTTCTTTTTTTGGAGGCGTCTTGTTGACAAACTTGCTGCAGGAGGCAAGGCATGACAACCAATCCTTGGTCAATGCTGCCTATTTCAAGGAAGCTCAAAGCACTGGGTGCTCTTTCCAGGACAGCGCCCGGTGGGCGTTGAGCCACGCAACATAGGTGTGTTCTTAGTATTCTTGGTTTTGTTTGAGAAAGCTTCTGCTCTGCACTTCTCCTAGCGGCAGCATGCACGCGAGGAGCAAAATGTTCGCAGGTTATTGACGGCTGATGAGGAGCATCGCTACTTTGGCCGAGTAAGAGGAGGTGGAAGGGAAGCCTCTTGGCTTTGAGCTGCAGTTCCCGATCTTGACTTGCTCCTGGCTCTTACGCCTTAATTCACGCACAAACTTTCTCCGGAAGTTGTTGTGAGAATCCTAGCTTTCAGAATCTGTTGTCAACTTGTACGTACCTCTTGCACCGCATTGCCGTCTGTAATGTCAAGGTATTGCGCAGCAAGTTTGCGCTGGACGTTGAAGAGCCGCCAGCCCTTTGTCAGTGGATCAAGACGGTTCCAATTGAGTCTACATGTTGCGCTGCACATTTGCATGTCCGTTCGCATCTAAATCTTTCACTTCACATTGAGGTATCATCCAGATACGTGGACAATGCCGAGAAGGAGCTGCAGAATTATGTGGAGAAGCTTCTGGCTCAGATCTTGCCTGTACAAAAATGATTCATCATTCAGATGCAGACCAGTTAACGATTTGAGCAGCTGTGGGTCTGGTTCGCAGGTTGCTGCCGAAAGACCCGCCGCCCTTTCCATTGGAAGGTAGGCCAACCCCAGGTTTCACGTGTCGCTTGTTCGGCACTGTCCTTGTGTGTGTGCGAATTGCGCAAGGTAACTTTTCGTCCCCGATCGGCAAAGAGATGATGGAGGAAGGGAGATCAGGGAAACTACTCATAAGCTACCAACAGCTTGTATTCGATCGTTTTATGCTGTTGCTGTCGCTAGGCTGCTAGGCATCAATACAACAAGCCCTTCCACTAGGGTGCTACTCTTCTTGCCAGGCAGAAGGTCAATACCTGCCAAGACCCTGCAACTGAACATTTGCAGGGACTACGCGAGTCCTGGAACGCCCATCACCAAACTGAAGATTTCAAGGTTACAGTCGAGGGCTGCCAGGCTGTCGCGTGTTTTCGTTTGCCGTTGACATCATGATGTTGCAAGTCCAGAAGACTTTGTGAACAGAAGATTTTGTGAACTTATTGAATGCTCGAGAAATGCAGCCACAAGCGAAAGGTGGAAGTGTGGGAAGCGAAGTTGGAGGATGCAAGATCTTGTCGTCAGCACATGTACGACTATCTTGTTGATGCATTGCAGCTCTTTCCTGTGGATAAAGGCCAGTTCCATATTGCTCATATTGCTCTAGAGTGACTGATTCTTGTCCTTTCTGGGTAAATGTCGTAGAAATTGTTTGGATGAGCGGAGTGTCACGACAACGACGAACTGCGGCAGGGGCATCTGAGTCCAATATCTTCCGATTGCGCATGGCATCAAATATGGCGCCACAGGTAGGAGCGGAGTTTTGTGATTTCAGAAGCTTCGCTCGGAGAGGGTTTGTGGATGTCGGGTCACGTCTGGGCCCTTGTTCCCCTGGAGAGGTGACGCAACGAGATTTTTTGCAAGCAGCTCTTGATCCAGAAGCTCTTCGAAAGTTCAATCCCTTTCTGCCTCTTGGCTTGGCATCAAAACATATCGAAGCAAAAGTGAAAGTTTGATATGCTCTGCCTATTGTAGCTGTTTCATGCTGTTTCCAATTCAAAAAGTCTTGCCACTTTAGCAGCTACATCTTAGGTCATCAGAGGCAGTGCAAAAGCTGCACAAAAGTGTTCTGCTGCTGTTGAAACTGTACGTGCTGGAGGACAAATTCAATAGACTGTTGGTCCATGCACCTTAGCCCTGTCAGAGGTTCGGCTTGCTTATAGTTTCAGGTGTACCAATTCGTGTTCAATCTGTTAAGTATTGTCAACTCATTAACAGTTATTATAATTAGTATTTTCAAGTTGCGCGTGATGTTTCAATGTGCGATGTCCAAACTATTGCGTTGTGCTTTTGTGACAGGATGTTTGCAATGTCACAGACATGTTTCATCAGATTGGAGCAGACTTGTTGGAAGCCAAGGCCAAGGGGAAGGTCCACCCCTTGCTGCTGCAAGAGCTACTTGTGACCCGAGCCTGGGAGGTAGAGGATCACCCAGAGTGGTTGGTCTTTGAAGTTGAAGAAGGACTGCAGATTCGTCCGGTGCAGTATGAAGTTGCGAAAAAGCTCATTGACGATCCTGGATGCGTGGTCCAGCTGAATATGGGCGAAGGCAAAACCCGTGTGATTTTGCCGATGCTCATCTTGCACTGGGCTGGTAAGGCAGACCAGAGATTGCTGAGAATCACTGCTTTGACTTCCTTGATCCATGAACTTTTCGACTTTCTACATAGTCATTTGTGCGCTCCCGTGCTGCGGCGGAAGATCTTCTCACTTCCATTTCACCGCGATGTGCACCTCACAGAGGAAGATGTGAAGGTGATGATTTCCTCCATGAAATTTTGCAGCCAGAGTGGAGGTGTTCTGCTGGTGGCTCCAGAGCACCGCTTGTCCTTGCAACTCAAATGGCATGAACTAAACTTGGCAGGGGAAACGACGTTGTGTGATTTGCTCGATCAATTTTTCGCCTTGCCTTCCCGTGATTGTTTGGATGAAAGTGACGAAGTCCTTCGTCACAAATACCAGCTGATCTATGCTGTTGGCAGCCCCATTCCACTTCCAGAAGGCCCTGACAGATGGAATGTGGCAACAGCGTTGCTGAGGGTTTTGCAAGACTCCCAACGGCTGAGGAGCCTTCTGTCCGCAACATCCGTGATGGAACACTCTGACTGTGAAGCTTTCAAGGGTCTTCGCCTCATTCCTGGTGATGAATTGCATGCAATCATGCCACGAGTACGACTCACAATCCTGGAAGATTTGATGGAAGATCCCCCGTACGACTTTGCCTGGTTGAAAAAAATTAGAGGCAACAGCTCTGTCATCAGATTTTTGGCATCTCCTGAGGCAGATGGCAAAATTCTTCAGGGCATTCCCCAAGATCGTCTGACTGTGATGCTGGCTTTGAGAGGGTTCTTGGCATGTTCCGTCTTGGAGCATTGCTTGACAAAGAGACACTCAGTGGAGTATGGCATTCGGAGAAGCCATGGGAAGCGCTTGGCAGTGCCATACAGAGCGAGCAACACTCCATCAGAGCGATCTGAGTTTGGACACCCCGATTGTGCCATCCTTCTGACTCTGCTGTCGTATTTTTACGACGGCCTCAGCCAGTCAGAGCTGCGACAAGCTTTTGAGGCACTGCTGGCTTGTGATGAGTCCGTCCAACAAAGCCACTACGAGACTTAGTTCAGGCTGAGCTGCGAGCGTATGGCAGAAGAGGAGAGTGCCGGTGTGCAGCGAGTGTCTATGGTGGACCTCTCCAATGAGAATCAGATGGATGTACTGTATGAGTATTTTCACATGAACTTTGAGACAATTGCCTTTTGGGTTTGCCATTGTTTGTTTCCATGTGAAACGTCGCAATATCCTCAGAAACTGCTTGCGAACGCGTGGCACCTGGCCGACAATCGAGACGGTCTCGTTGGGGGCTTTTCTGGCACTGACGACAATCATCGTGCACTTCCTCTGCAAGTGAAGCAAACGATGCCAAGCCGCATGCTTGGAAATGTTGAATGGTCCCATGCTGTCGTTCGATCATAGATTTGAAAGAGCGTAACGTTCTCTGAAAGATTTGAAATGCCTTCTCAGGAACCTCGCCAAGCTGTCCGGAACTAATGGCAAGATGGTGAAGATCATCCTGGACAACCCCAATTTCCAAAGCCTGGAAGTTGGAGAAAATGGCAACCTGCATTGGAAGCAAGTGCTGCAGGCGGCTGCTTCAGGAGGTGCATGGGAATCACTAAATGCAACGTATGCCTCAAGAGATCCTTCATGGCGTTGCGTCAGAAAAGCTAAATGAGTTTACAACCGGCATCACCACCGGAAACCCACAGGAACTTGTCTAAGAACCTCGAAGCCGTCCCAAACCTGCAAAAGAATGGGAAATAGGAAAAGAGACAAAAAGAGATTGGAGAATTCATGCTGTTTGAACATGTTTGAAATGAGAGGTGTAGCTGCTTTGATTGATTGTGGAGCTCTGACCGCCGGCGCCAGCAATGCCAAGATTGCTCATGAACTTCTTGAGCTACTACAGCAAGGCGACCTGGATCTGTCTTGACAAATGCACTTAGTTTCTCTTGGTTGGCTGGAAATGGCTTCACAGCGTGTGTTCTGCACATTTGCAAGAATGAAAGCTGTTTGCTAAGCGAATGATTTGTGTCGATTCCCATCAGGAAGGATGTTCAGTGGTGTGACCTACTTTGACACATCCAAGAAAGTGCTCTGGTCTAAAAGCGCTGCATTCTCCATGTTTGTTGAGATGGATCTGAAGCAAGACCACTGCTTTCAGTGAGTTTTTCAAGGAGGTGACACGCTTTGGGTCTGTGAAAAGTCCTGAGAAAGGATGCCAAGAAGCCAAGGATTGGATGATTTTGGACTATCACGGGCGTTGCCTCCCAAAACGGTCTTCGCCGGCCCGAGAGTCAGACACTAGCTCCAAATTGAGGGTTTAATACAGTTTTCCAATGCTTTCCACACGCGGAGCTCTTCAGTTCGCTTTTGATCGAAACAAACTAAAACAAACATGTTTCATCCCTTCCGCTTCAAGGAGTGCTTTGCTTTCTTTGATGAAGCAAGATCGCGCGGAGCGGACTTGAAGCTGGCAATGACAGCGAGAGCCATGGTGACTTGGCTACGCATAGAGTGCAAAGTTGATCTTTGTACTTGTACAAGAACAAAGGTCTCGGTTCCGATTGGTTCCACCAAAATTGTATCCAACAAGAATTCCAGTTCAGCATGAAGTCATACTTCGGCTGTAGATCATTGTTATATGTCTTAATGATCACGGCCAGGGTAGAGCCAGCAGCATGGCAGGTGACCGTCGGGCCCAAGTGTGGCAAGGACAAGTTGATGCAAGCAGTGGGACGAATGCGACAGCTGGGCAAAGGTCAAACCCTGGAATTCATCAGCTCCCCGGAGGCCCGAATTTGACCCCAGCAGGGTCCATCAGTAGACTTTGAAGCCAGCCGGTGCTGGTTGTTCAGAAAGACTTTTAAATACCGAAAAGTCGAGCAGATTTCGTTTTTCAATGTCCTTTCCGTTGCTTATTGCATCGTTGATTTCGACGCAAAACACTGTGAAGCCCTGAAAGGTTACCAAAAAGATTCAAGATCTGACGATGCGTGAGCTTAGCCAGGCAGAGCAATCGATGTGTTTGTTTAGGGACATTCAGGGACATTCAGGCGTAGTGCGTAGAGTTTGGCTTGGTTTCAGTCGTGTTTGCTTAGAGCTCTTTACACTGCCTGGCTTGAATGTTTTTCTAACGGCTTTTAGAAGAGCCCTTGGTAGGTGAGTGGAATGTCTGGTGGACCACACGAGATCACATCAAAGCACCTCCTTGAATGGGTGATGGCCAATACTGCCGCACACCTGCACAGTAAGAGATCCAACACCAGAGAAGGTGATTTGCAGATGAAGCAGCATCAAGCCTTGCGATTCCCTCATTGTTCAAAAGATCAATGCAAACTCGCTTTGATTAAAATGGACCGTACTCGTAGTTTTGGGCGCTGTCTATCATCCTTTCTCCACTGCTTCCTGCGCTTGTTTTATCTCTATTCCCATCCACCATTTGCAACATTTGGGCCAAGGTGCAGGCTGCAGAAGAGTCATTGACCGAGTGGGTAGCTTCTATGGCAGTTTACGGTTGTTCTGGTAAACAAATGGGCCGGTGTTCTTTGTTTGTTTGTCTCCGGCTCTTTGATGCTCTTTGTGGTTCTTTCATCTTCTGGTCTTCCGAAGTTTGAGGCGAGGCAGGGTCTTCTCTTCACCACAACTCATGCAAGCCCGGAACTGGCCGTGTTGGATGAAACTGTTGAGCTTAAATTCTTCTACGGAGAAGCCTTGGTCCTTGGGCCGCATTTTAAGGAGTGGAGTTCTCAGTAGGATCATTCACGGGTTCCAGAGTCTGGAACATTTTGGAATCAGCAAAGTCCATCTACGACCATTCGTGTACGTTGGTGTGGCAATACGATACTCCACATCGGTAACTTGTCCAACGGGGCTGATAGTGAGGTGTCTCGAGAGGTTCCAGAGGTGATCAGGCAAGAAATGAACTTGTACGCACAGAGCCTTGGTGGCACGAAAGATACGAAAGCTAAAATCATATGACTTTGACGCTCGACTTGTGGACATTGGATGGGATCCCCGTGTACCGCGCCCGCAGTACACTCCCACAAACTATAACTACGCTGCGCCAGACCGTATTGCGTTTCATTGCCGCATGATTTGTCACGCCTATATATGAGTCCAACTCTTCGTCCGTTTGTCTTTCCTTACGTATGCTGACATATATGGGGTATCATGGGGTTGCCTTGCCATAATTTGCATGACTCATGACATGCCTTGACTTGTTTGTTCTTTAGACAGAGAAATTGCTAAAATGTATTCACGGGTTTCAGACTATGACCGAGACCCTTCCCGGAGTTCCCCACCAAGAGGCAGATGCAGGTGCACCTTTTCGCTCCAGATTGGGCTCGGTAAATTGAGCCAGTCAGTTGATTGGCCTTGAGCCAATTGAATGGCTTGAGCCTTGAGCCATAGTTGCAACAGTCGGAGGACGTCTCAACGACTGTGAAAACTTTAAAAAGACCTTAGTGGGGGCGCAGTGGTACTCTGTGCATGTTTCCCAACCGCACTCCCCCTTCCTGCTTGCAGGAATCCAGGTTCCCCAACACCAAAAACAACAATTTCAGGGGTGGCCACGTTTCCTCTGGGAACTCGCCCTTCCCCCAGCCAGAAGGGCGAAGACCCTCGTGTGCCATGGTCCCAGGCTGGTGTTGGCTCCCCCTTCATCCAAGGGTCTCGTGGAGTTCCACTTCGGGTTGACTCCAAAAATTGAAAAACTACAGCCCTAACTTCGTAGGTTTTTTGAATTCCCTCTCTCACCAGCGCCGCACTCGAAGAGCGCCCAACGGTGTTCTTTGGGTCCAGCAGCTGATGAGCTTTTCCCTGTATTGATCTTTTCCACCGGCAGCTAATGATCTTTTCCTTAGATCTTGATGATCTTTTTCTCCAGCCACCGATGTACTTTTCCCGGCGATCTATCCTTTTTTAGTTCTTCTTTTTCTTTTTCTTTTTCGGCTCCCACTTGCAATAGGATCCGGACTTCTTTTTCCTTCTGATCACCTTGAGTTCCCATTGGTTGCGGAGCTATCCCTTTTGAGGGTTTACCATGAAGTTGTATTTCACCCATCTTAACCACACTCCCCAAAAATTCCATCCCTCGAACTGCTACCTGATCCCTCGTTTCTGTGGGACCCGACCTTGGTACATCTTCAGCAGCTCGATGTTCTTTTCGCTTGGACCTGGCAAGATCCAAGTCCCAATGGTTCCCTTGTCCACCTCCCTGGATGGTCTTATGGAAGTGTTCTTCTTTTCCCGAACTGTGCACTTGGGCAACATGACCGTGGTGATCTTGTACCCGCAAAACTTTCAAAATTGATGGATTTTCATCCCAAAAATGAACCCTTTTTGGTTTTGAGTTACCCTTTTTGGATTTATTCCCCCGTTTCAGGATCCCCCTAGGTTCTTCTTCTACAGGGTGTTCAACTTGTCCAGGAATGTTCTTCTTCTCCAAAAACGGTAAGACCGACTCCAACTGGAACCGATCCTTGACCACGGATTCAGTGACGCTATACGCATCAGCCAGTACTTGCACCAGCCTTCCAATGGCAGTGCTAAGGGCTTCATGCCGGAAATTGGCTAGTTCTGGATGTTTCTCGGTCAGACCAACCACCTTTTTCACCACTGAAACACACCGATCAGCGATGTCTCGGTAGTTGTCCCAGGAAGGAGTCTCTTGGTCTGGTTCTTCCGGATGTTGTTCTTCTCCCAGAGGTTGTTCTTCACGACGGTTGGACCCCATTGATGATTCCTCAATTGGAACCCCGGAACCTTGGTGATTGACGAACCTCCAGAACCTGTCCCAGCTGGGCTTCACAGCGATGATCTTCGTCAGGAAGTCGGCCACAAGTTTTACCCCTGGAAGGTGACGGATGATCCAACTACCATCCTTTAACCGCTCCCTTAGGGCTGTTGCTCGCAACCGCAAGTGTCGAGTCCTCCACGGACCGTCAGGATTTTCCAAGATGGCTATTGCAGCCGTATTGTCTCCGTAGATGATCTTCTGCCCGATTTTCCGTCCTTCCACGACCTCTATGAGAGACGCCAGAGAGTCTCCCATGACCATGGATTCCAAGTAGGACATCAGTTCCCCTTCGGCGGTGCTCAATACCACAAAAGCTTGACGGCTGGCTTCCCATTGAACCAACCCTCCACCATAAAAACCTAGGATACCCTGCAGTGACCTTTCGCCCGCAGGGGCAAATGAAATGTCCGAGAACATCTCAACTTGCTGCATCTCCCGGTGAAATGGCAGGTCATCTTCGGGACCACGATCATCACTTGTGCAAACCCCATAGCTGAGATGTTGAGTTTCGGTTCCCTTTAGGCAACCAAACACCTGTTGTGCAGTTTTCACTACCCATTTGGGCCGTTTGTTCACCTGTCTTCCCAATTGGCTGACGGCGAAACTGATATCCGGCCTTGTCCTTATGGACAACCACAGCAACTCGCCCACCACCGTTTGAGCTCGTCGTATGTTTTCAAGTGCTGGTTGTTCTTCTTCCGGAATTTCGGCATCCGCTTTCGTCATCGGAACCGGTCTTGGGTGTTCTACTTGATGTCGATTCAACAGATCCCGAGTGTAGGACTGCTGCCCCACCTTCAACTTCTTGTGATCCCCTTGACCGCTCCATTGGAGCTCGAACCCACAAAATCGAACCCAGCCTTCGTGATCAACTTCTTCAGGAGTGGAGCATGTCCATTCTTCCTTCAACCTCTTCAAGAAGCTATGTTTGGCGTGAGGCTCAGCAAGAACCATAAGATCGTCCACATAGACGACCACCAAACCTTCTTGTCGATATCCGTCAGGACGTACTTCTTCTCCTGGAGCGTCACCACCTTTACACAGAATTCTCCACAAATTTCCCTCCGGTGTTTGTTCTAGCTTGTAATCCTTCTGCACCTCCCCCGGGCTTGCATTTCCCTGCCATGTGAACCGCCGCATCGTTTGGTCGCGGTACACCGCCCAGTGGGCAGGACTGGATTGAAACCCATACAGGGCCTTGTCAACAAGCCAGACTTCATCCGGTTGGGTAATCCCAAAATCAGTCATGATCCTGGGCGGAACCACCGCCACGGTTTTGGCACCTTGTTCCACCGGCCGAGGAGCTAGTAGAAAAGCGGTCTTGATGTCCGTCGTGGCTACATCCCATTGGTGATGAGCTGCCTTTCGCAATGCACACCTTATCAGAACCCCGTCCGCTCCACTGGCATACAGCAGAGAGGAAGGCATGGGATCCGCTTCCGGTGATGCCAAGTTGCCGCAGATCACAGCGCGACATTTGTATCTCCCTCCAGCCTTGATCACACAGACCAATTTCCCCGGCACCAGTTCAGCTTCAGGGTCAATCTCGGATCTTTTGACTGGTCGGATAGCCTTTGTTTCTGCAGTCAATGACTTGTACTCGGCGAGCATCGAGTCATACCACTTTTCCTTTTCCATCCTCACCTTGTGGAGAGGGACTGTAACAGTTTGAAGTTGTTCTTCTCCACCGCTACCATCAGCTTGTGCTGAACAGACCCTTAGTTGGCACACTCGCCTTTCCTCCTCAATCTTTGCAGTTGTTACAGCTTCCAGTTCCTCTTCCAAATCTTCACGATGTTCTTGCAGAAGTCGTAGAACTTGTCCCTGTATGAAACCGTTCGTGGGATCCACTGGAACGTTCGACAGTTCTTCCTTAATGGCTTCCACAACTCCAAGGTGTTGATCTTCTTTAACCTTCAACAGGTGTGTCAAGCTAACGTTTCTGACGATGAACTCCCCCGAGGTTGGACTTCTTTCCATGTGCTTCTCCCCCGAGTCTGGACCATCTTGTGCAGAAACCCTTGAAACTTTGATTCTTTCACGTTTGAAAAGGTTACCGGGCTCCCCCCCTGCTGACACTTCAGCAGGCTCTACTTTCATTTTTGAGATTTCCGGCACAAGGCTGTCAATCTCTTCCACAGGAGCTTCCGGATCTTCTCGGTTGAGTTCTTCAAAAAACAAATCGAGTTCATCAGGCCCTTCATCTGCTTCGAGCATTTCGCTCGGTTCGTATGGCTCTGAATCTTCGGGTGGTGATTCGTCAGGAGGTGGTAGCGGAGCGTCCCCAATGGTTGGCGGCAACCTCATGACACCTTCTGGCGGGGTCTTGGAGTAAAGCCGTCTGTGAGGCCTTTCAGGATTGTCTTCTATCTCCAACCTGATGCGGACCCGCTCCCCTTCCTCACTCGGAACAACCACTTCTCGAGCATGAACCACTTTTCCATCTTTCTGCTGGACTACCCAGCCCGAGAACATCATTGGACTCGGACACAGCAGGCGTCCTTCTGTGTATGGAGACGGAATCGCCCCCTTTTTGAACCATCTTTTTGACCGAACCAAGACGTTGGCCCTGAAGGGCAGCATTGACAGTACGGGCACTCCCAGTTTCTCCAACTGTTGCCTCATTCGCTCTTCAGCACAATACCTCATAGCTTGAGGCCAATCGGTCACCTCACTTCCTGCCACGCGGAGATACAGACGGGTCCGCCTTTTAAGCTGATTGACCTCTGATTCCACATGGCCGTTTGAGGCCGGGTCGTCTCCCTCCGTCATGCTCTGTCTTATAAGGCGTTCCGAGCACCATTTTTCAACCTTTTTTGACAGCAGCTCTTTAGCCCGATCACTATAAAGACGGTTGATCTTGATGCCCATCGTGTTGAACTTCGCGATGCATTTTCCCAGGGCGACTAGGATTTCACTCACATGTCTTGACCCCAGAAGTTCCACCAGTGTCACGTGCCGTACATTGAACGGCTGCTTAGATTCCTCAACCAACCTTCTGACTTCCTCCATCATTGGGTCGGGATCTCCTTTTTCTTCTTTTTCACTGTTGTTCTTCTCCCCCGACTCTGGAAGTTGATGATCTTCTCCACCAAGTGGACAGTCCCCTTCTTCAAGACCGTCCCCCCACGAGGGTTC